GAGATTGGTAACGCATAATAAGATGTTATCCTTAGTCCTTAAGAATAGGTCAAGTTTCCTCTTAAAGGACTCCTGGGAAATCGCTTAGACTAGCTCAGCCGGCAGCAGATTCCAGCATTTGACAACTCTTAAGGAGTAGAAGTTATGTCTACAGTCTGTTCTACTATATTGTATCTCCAATTTCTGGGTGTTACCCCATGGGTTTGTATTGGACCTAAGCTTAAGTGGGCGTTTAGGGTGATGTCCAGAAATATTAAGGATACTGTAAGCCATCAGAAGGTCACCTCTAAGACGCCTATACTTTAATAGGTCAAGGTTAAGTGATTGAAGGAGCTCTTCATAAGATTTGAATTTGAGTCTCTGAACTGATTTCGTGGCTCACCGTTGGATACGCTCCAGAGTGTCCTTATTCTTTTGCAGTGAGGAAGGAAATACTATGTTTCCGTACTCTAAACGGGAACGAATAAGCTGTTGGAGATTATGTGGAAAGTTCTCCCGTCAAACTGACCAAAAATGCTCTTCAATGTTACCAGTGCAAGGTTTGCTCGAAAGGCATTTTTGTCACAGTTGGCGTAAGACTTTAAATCGTAGTGCACCAGAAATCCTGAATCTTTTTCGACTCGGGACACTACTAGAGAGGAGTTTCCTATAAGGTTTACTGAGTTGATAGGCCCTGTCCTTTACACTTTTTTATATGATAAAAACAGTCCACAAGTGGAATGGTCAGTTCCAGCTTGCCTTTGTGCTTGATCCTGGCTTCATGTGGCCTGTCCGGGTGCATACAGATTCCAGTTGGAAACCGACGTATTTAAGCACGAAATACTTCCAGAGTTGCAGCCGCCATATGGGAGGTCTAGAATCACCGTCCTTCTTGGCTAGTCGCGTCACATGTTGAGTCAGTATGTTATTGAGCCTCAAGGACTGCTTGATGAATTTCCATTCCCTAATGTCAGAGTTTGCTTGACTGGGATCCATATTTTCTGGTACACCTTGCACAATTATATTTCTTCGCGGAAAAGCTCGCGAGATTCTGTAATATTATTTGGGCCCTAACACGAAACAATATGGAAAATGGACATTCGACATTTAACGCGGAGAAATACCTAACAATCGAGAAGAAGGGAACAATGAATTGAATGAATTCGAGTTGGTCGGATCGCATGGCTCTACCATTCAGGCGTGGTCCCTGCTGAGTGTTATCTTATATCTTTTATTCGTATTAAATATGTTGTTCTATCTCTAGGCTAAGCTTGTTCTCCATCATGTGTTGGTAGTTGTTACAATGCAATGAGTTGGTGTAGACGATGATGTGACTTCCACGTAAGATCTTATAGATTAGGCAGTTATATCATGATAAATCTACAATTTTAGGATTAGGTTCATTATTAGACCAGTACTGATATCATAGTAGACCATAATTCTAAAATTTCACTCAGAATACGGTATGTCGAGCAGTATTCTTACATTCCCATCGGATTTCAGCAAATGACTAGCTAGCAGGACATCATCTGCGTCGGTAGCGTTCTTAAGTGTTACACGAAGTAGCCTCGGGTGATTTTGATGCTTAGATTCCTTTTTACGAGTGAGCCGTGTGACCGTCAAAGGCTCTATTCTAGGAAGTTCAACCTTCTTGTTCAGTTTATCCCAGAACATCCTGTCGTTGTTGTCCTGCGAACTGAGAGGAAGGTCAGGGTTGTCTTTGAGGTTCATGATTATGAGAGAGCCATCACGAACCGTTATTGCCTACCCAGGTTTTCCGGTGCGTTCAGTTTCAGCATCTTGGTGTTCGGAGGTCAAAGCACGTTTCTGGATCCTAGGCTCTTTGATGACCGGACGAACATTCTTGGGTGTAGACCGAGCGATCAAATCACCAGTTGATTTCCGTACAACACTTGGAATGTCCACCTTAGACCGTGATACCTGGTCCTTTTTAGCTCTATTAATGTAGGTCCAATCACCTACAGAGTTTCTGGAACCACTGTTGCGTTTAAGGACCCTGAGCCGGGAGACCCGAGTTTACTGAGGGATTTTATTACCGTCGACGCAATGATGGTACTGAGTTTTAACATGTCATCACTAGTGCTAATGCATGCTTTATCGATAGTAGACCTATGAACATCCCTATTCTTGTTTTCTTTACGTGCCCTTGTTTGTCTACCCGTTTTTTAGCTGTCTTTTTTCAAGTTTGCTGACAACTTATTCCCCAGACCTGTCAATAGGACAATTATGCTACTCAGAAAAACTACAGCACCCGTGCTGCAGATAACACATACCCACTTATGATGCGACTTGCTGAGACTGTTGTAAGCAGTTGCTGTGAGATCTGTGCACGCTTCATGGAACCAACCTTTGCAGTTGTAGCACTGCATGCCAGATGTAACAGCAAAATTATATCCAGGTCGTTCGCATGAATTTTTCATGACTATATTGACGTAAAATGTATTATATATGCTAGCAAAAGCCTAAGACCGTTAAAAAATACACTAAAAACGGGCAAAAATGAATAAAAACGGATGAGAAAAACTGGACTAGCCTTTTCGTGAAAAACTGAAAAAGAAAACCCAATAGTAAGCTGAGGCAAAACCACAGTTAACTGTTGAATTGGGTGAAACTCGAAAAAAAGTAATCTACTGAACGTATAGGTCAGAATAGATTCTTTACATCAGAAATGGTACTTTTGTTGCGTAAGAACACAGCAAAAGTTTGAGAACTAAACTTCACGTTCGGAAGGCGCGCTATCAGAATTCATCTTATGTGCCAGCCTCGAGGTGTGATCTCGGCGCCAACTGGCTGATCACACCATCGCCGTCTAACCTGGGCAGGCCCACAGGCATTTGACACAGATCATCTGCGTTAATGATCTGCACTGGCAATGCTACGTGTTTTCTTCAAGTTACTTTTGGACCTATACAAATTTTGTCTACAACGTAACACCAAACCAAGAAATAAATCAACAATGCCCTGCATGTAATCTAAATTTGAACTCCTGCCTATTTCAAAACTTTACTATCTAAAAGCCAGAGTAAACCAGGAGAGTTTCACAATTTTGTTAGGTTATGTCGTATCATGTTTATGAGGCTTAATAACGTTTCGTAGTTACACTTACATGAATTAGTCATATATTGTGCCATTCCCGTCAAGTTTTAATGAAAATCATGTATATGTATACCTTGTAAGTGAACTCATTGTGGAAAAAGGTATTGCATGTACACAAGCGATCTCAGTCAAAGTTTTAACCAAGGACTTCGTCGCATTACAGTAAGTATTATGTTACTTAACGCTAGATAACAAGCTTTCTGCGTAAGTCTTTTACAAAACGACCACATTTTCTGCAGCTTTTAAACTTTGGTTACAATAGTGGTTACCATTTTTGCCAATGCCAACTATACGCTATGCATTTGCTGTTATCTTACACAGCAAGCAATGAGTCGACTTCCTTATTACATGTACGTCATCTGAATCACGTTTTCCGTTTATTTACACGCATCTATTTACATGGAATTCTCAAAAAACCCAACCATAGTATTCGTATATCTTTGAATTTACACATTCACCTGTTACACAGACAACATCCAAACGAACGATTGGCGCAACTGTCAGTGTAACGAAGAAGATACACTGCGATTCTCTCCACAGCATTTCGTTATTTGTTCCTTAGTGATTGACAATGCATCATAATTCATTTCGGACTCATTCAAGTGCTTCTGTAGTGTAAATTGAATAACACATCTACACTCTCCACTGCCTCATCCCCAATCGAATGTGCAGGCAGAACGCTTTGTCGACACTTTTGTAGGAGCAATGATGAAGAAAGGAGACGAGGCGACAACTAGTCAGGTAATCATAAAATTCTCAGCGACTTACAGAACTACTCCCATCCTTACTGTCCCAGGTGGAAAGTCCCTTGCTGATGTTATGTTTGACAGAAGTATTCGGACTATTTTCAACACTATGCTGCCACCTAAAGTAGTTGATGTGCACAGAAGAGATACGAATATCCGAAGCTTTAAGGTGGGCGATAGTGTTCGTCAAGTCATATCTCGGGAAAAATCTATGGGAACCAGAAGCAGTTGTACGAAGATTGGGAAGAGTTTTGCATAGGGCTTGCGGCACATTCGGGACGCGTATCAGACGCACAAACGAAATTCACAAAGATAGAAGAATGATGCATACCGGAGATATCCACTGTAGTTAATTACAGACACATCAACGCCATGTAGAGCTTAATGAACACGTGGACATCACTGCAAACTAGCTGTCAAACTGCAAGCAGACCGGAATTAGGATTATACAACAGATTTGACATATATAGGGCAATTTGTGACTAATAGTAATGATCCAAAATGAACTAAATCAAAAACTCAGTATTGCAACTAATTCCAGGGTGTTTGTGAGGCTATTTATTTCGTCACTCGGTTGATTTAGTAAAAATCAAAGCTCAAGTAAATACGTGGCCCTCACTGTATGAACAATCTGAAACGAGCTTAAAATAGCAGAAAATTTATAGCTTAAGTTCACCGTAAGTTTCCGGAATATTATCCTTGTTGTTTGGCGATGGAACTCGAAAATTGGAAATTAGGCAGACAGTGGTTGGAAGAAAAGATATTACAGGATAGTTCATAGTTTAAAACAGTGAAACGCTAAGTGAAAAAACAGTATGAAGTGTTTGGTTTAGACAACCATTCGGTCCTTGCTCACGTTGCTAGCCATTGTCTACTTACATCATTTTAGGACCATATTTGCTAGAGCATGATGTTTTAACAAGTTTATTTCGCTGAAGCATGTAAATGCTATCAAAGCTTGTTAATGAACCATCTTAGCTAATAATTAATGTAGAAATCTGTTAGGGAGTAAATGTTTGTTAACATCTCAAAAATTAACCAATATTTACTGAGGCACTGGATGCGACTATGGATGAATCACTGCTACCATAAGCCAGAGATCGTTAGCAAAAATCTTACTTTGTTTTTTTTTTCGTACAACTGATTGGATCTATTGAGCACAGAAATATAGGGTTTCTTGATTAGGCGCTTTGCGCAACTGGTTTGAAAATCATCAATACTTAGCGCTATTGGAATGTGTGTTTTTCTTATTACAGGGAAACAAAGAGTAAACGTGCCGGAAGAAAAAAAACAGGATCTGCGTGATGGATAAGACTAACTTTAGAATAACCTTTCTCTTTCTTGGCGCGACTACGTTATTCGATTTCTGAAATATATATATGTTGTGCTAGCACGTCGTGTTTTTGCTCCCAGACATTCACTGACCCTTGTTTGCATACTTTTGTTTTAGGTCTCTCTTGCTTCCAAATAGACGCCGGTAACATTTTTTAACAGAATATGCAATCGAACATTTCCTTGGAAGATGGGTTTTATACCTTCTGGAAATCTCTTGGACCTGTAAGAACAAAATTTTCCAAATTTTCTTTTCAATCTAGAAGCCTCCTACCACTCTTCGATGCTTCGAAAGAGGGGTAAGCCATATTAATCGAACTATTTCTTCCCAGGAGATAATGACGCTTCATGATTCCGATGCTATTCTTGTGGCTACAGATTACTACAAAAATCCGTCCCTCGTAAAGCGGTTTTCCAAGGGGAAGTCAAGCTTGCCGTATGTCACTGTCAAAAAACAAAACGCTGACTTTTTGAGACATTTTCTCCTAAAGAGGCAATATCGCATTGAAATATATTGTTCTACAACCAAATGTGGGAGAGACAATGAGTGGAGCCTTAAGTTAAAGGTTTGTAGTGCCAGCTATTAGCTTATTTTCAGGCTTCTCCTGGGAACTTGGGTTCAGTAGAAGATCTTCTATCTACATCAGATTCAGTTGAAGCTTGTGGACTCAGTGCAGTAAATGTGAAGCAGCTAAACGAACAAATAGTAAGTTTAGTGCAAATTTTACAACCGTATGCGACCCGCTACTAATGTTCACCAACCTTGTTGATAACAGACAAAACTACCGGAGTACGTGAACGTAATGACTGACTCGGGTTAAACACTTCGTATTCAAGGTATTAAATATCACTGGTTTCATCAGGAACTGTATTATGTCGAATTCAAACCATAAGTTTTATATTCTATAGGTGGTTCAACTGTGTAACTTGAAACGTTAACAAATATGCCACAATATAATAGCTAGTGGCAAAAATTGCGAGAAATTTTCGTAGATAAAAAAGGTTACTGGTTGTATTTTCAAGTGAGCTGTACATCCTAATATGAACTCTCGTTCATTTGTTTTCTCTTTTAGATTGTATTCCCGTTTTTTTAAGTTTGTTCAGTGTTATCTCTATTTATGGTATTTACATTTTCAATATCCACAATTTACTTTTATAAACTAAGTATATTAACACTCTTTAAAGTACACCTAAAGTCGATTCTTATGACTTAGATTAGTGACCTTTCAGTACACTTTTCTGATAATCTAAATAACTAAATCCTAAGTTTATGTTAGGATATCTAGGTACTTTCAGCTGAAGTAGCTACGTTCAAATGTCGGAAAGTGTCACTAGGAGATGAAAAAAGTTGGGTTACTCTATTACTGCTTTACGTTAAAATTAAAGCCACAAGCAAGAGCGTTACAACTGGAATCTTTGGCTAGATCAGTTGGCGAAAGGTTTAACTTTGACAGCCATAACATCAATTACTCATCATTATGGCCAAGGAAAAAGGTACTGCGTTAAGCTTGAAGGTGGTTTTCATCTACATAAGGTATTCATGATCATTTGGTGATATCTGTTTGGAGTTCGTTTATTCTGTTCAATGTCCTAGTGTTACAATATTTTTTGATTTTTGTCATTGGAGTTAATTATTCAATCAAACAAGACACTGGCTCTGTATTTCAGCATGTGTGCCTAGCCTTTTGTGAAATTGAAAGTCGGAAGTTTCTTGTTGGTGAATTCATGGACTCAGTGCATCTAGCGAACTTGGAAAGTGCTCTTGTTCAACTTAAAACAAGAGAATGCCTTGTCCCTACCGGACTGCTTTCACATCCGGATATTTCTAAATCTGATGTCACACCTTTGGACAATGCTATTTCGGAGCACGTCAGTCTTATCTTTGAAAGAAGTGGGATTCTACCTACTGAGGTAAAAAAGTGTAAGTCCTGCACCTCGGTAATCGATATATCTTTCTAAGCTGTGTTTGATATCACAAATATCTTTTAATTTCATACATCGTTGAAATTTGGCCATCTTAGTCGATGTTTTATTATGCTGTCTGCTAGTAGTGATTAAATTGGGATGACCAATGTTCTTACTGATCGTATTCTCATTGCTTATTTTCAATACCTCCGTAAAACCTGATTTTTCATATCTGTTAATTCCTCATATTTGCTTAATTAAAGTTCGAAGATTGGTGATAGTTCTTTGTATTAACTAGAAAAGTCCACTTTTGTGAACCAGTAAGGAGCGGAGTAGATAGTGAACCTGATTACATTCTTCAAACTTATTGTTCAATCTAGAATCGACAACTATCACTGTTGGTTAGCTTTGTTTTAGTGTCAAACCACTTCCAAAAAACCAACTTCTACTCAATTTGGTCTTAGGCTAAAACTTTCGCAATTTTTTAGTACCAGACTTGTTCCGAAGACATCCTCAGAAATATGTGTCAGCTAAACTTAAGGGTCTTCATTTCACATACACTACATAATATCTCACGTTTTTTGATCAATCACTACTCAATGTAAATTAATCAAACAACCATCTTAAATTTATCCGTCATATTACCCTGTATCACTAGTCAGAAATCCTTTAGACCACCAAAATATACTTATTTTCATACAGACATGTGAGACAATGTGGACTGAATGGGATGACAAAACTTTTTGACCACTTCACTTTATGAAATCTTCAGTGGGAAATTTAGTCTCTGGTCTAGGGAATTAATGCTTCGAAAGAGGTGGATCAAGTCTTAAAATTGTAAATCTAAATTGGTAAGCGGAAAATACCTGATAAAACTATATCACTGATCCCTTATGAATTATCCAATAGTTTTGGTCGTAGTTTACTATTGCATTAAGTTTAAACCAATAAACTGAGTCCTCCAACTAACAGTGGGAAGTCTTTTTTGTAAATATAGTTGGTCAAATATCGAGGGTTTTTTAATTAATGACAGCAGCTATGATTTTAGTTAGTTCCCTTTTTTGGTACTTGTATCTGAAGACATAAAAACGCTGAGATTTTACTCTTGGTTTTGATCCACATTTATATAAATGTGGTTTGGTTCCAGTTCTGATCTCATAAAGCTCTTTGTTTTTGCTTATTTAAGCTGAATTCTCGCACATAATTAAACCACAAGACTTGATCTATTTCCTTCGATCTGAAAAAGAAAACCCAAATGGCTCTTTGCTCTACGAGAAAGGTAATCTATTTTTGAATGCTATTCAATCAGATACTACTATTATATCCACCGAAAAGCAAAGATAATTAAATTATGGTGGATTTTAATCACAATCTGTATTTGAAATTCATATGTCTTACTGGTGTACCTACTTTAAAAAATTTTCTATGCAAAGCAGTTAGCTGTTTGGCGTTTCATGCTATCGAATCAACATCATAATAAGGCTACAACTTTTCCGTTTGTTGTCTACCTAATCCTTTCTATTACTACTGGTTCTGTTAAAGTTTCTAACAATCTGGGATTTATCTGGATAATTTCATTTCGCTATGCTAGTCTAGTGTGACAACTTACACCGATTCATATATGTGACAGGTCCTACATTGAGTATGACTGACTGACTGTAAACAAACCTAGAATCATCGCTTCTCGTATAAGCATAGCTTATGTGACTGTATTTTGTAGTAATGTCTCGTAACAAGTTTTCAGTTGAGTTTTGGTTGTTATATTATTATTGAAACTCATGTGAATTATTTTCTGTTCATGGAGCGGTGTCTTAGAACGATCACGTAATCAGCAAAATATGATGAGGCCTGCAATGTATATGGTATAGTTTCAAGGGTTTTTAACTGAAATATATACCATTTGTAGAAACTTTCGGATCTTACCAGTAACCCGAAATTCGACGTCGTTAATACGTGTCAGTCATAGTGAACAAAGAGCTTTGCACACATAATGCTTGAACAGCCAGTTATAAATAATCAACAAAGAGGCAGACAAAAATGTATGTCAACCAAAGATGCTTGATAAGGGTGAACTCAGAAAGATAGATATCAACATAGAGCCCGGCACAAACAGGTGTTGGTCTAAGTTGTCATATCACATTAGGTCGACGAAATGAAGTTAACAAGATGTACGTCAAAGAAACCGAAACAATGTAGCAGCAACCATAATAAGAAAGAATAAACATCAAGAATATGGTTCGAAAAGTTGATGGGAAGGAATGTATGAAGGAATACTGGAAACACTGATCTATAGAGAGGTAACATGTAAATGCATGCGCGCCACTGAGATAGACTGTGAGCTATGTCACCCAGAGTCTCCAAACATTGGTTGCGATAGTCGCGCGGACCCCAACCAAGTAGTCTGCATCTACCAACATGGCTAGGACCAGAAGTTAGTGACCTCCCCTAACTTTCTTTCAACCGTCTTCAACACTAGTCAGCACTGCGCGTCGTGGTAATCGGTGTTCAGGCATACGTAACACGCCATGAGCTCTGACTAGATTTTTAGATTGAGTAAAGAGCCCTCACAAAATATATGTACTTCTGAGGTACTTCTTTCAATGACAGACAAGGCCACAGAACCTCTCGGTCTACATAGTCACCTGCTACGAGTACTATGTCTCAGCGTTTAGCTTTTGGAAGAATTAGCATATTGGAGCAAATACAGAAACGATGAAAAGACAACAACCTGTCTCCCTATTTTTTCGAATTCTTTCGGAGCCGTTTAACCGAAATGCACATAGGAGACGAAAATGAACCACCAGGTCGCCAGATAAACAAGTGTATCTTTTCAGCTCTCCGTTTTGTCGAGGTTAAATTAATTGAATGATCACGCTAGGATCCGGAGACGGATATTCCAGGGATAAGGCGAGGTTTGCATTTTTAGGGTTGGACCTTTCAAAATCCACACCTCATTGTGGGAAGACAGCATCCCTGTTATGTTAATTGTCTGAAGGAAATGCCTAACTGCTGTCACACCTCTGCACAGTTAGCAGTACGACTTCGCCCTCGAAAATTTGGTTTGTTGCTTATAGTCCTACCGCTCTTTAACTGACCTGTCTGGCATAGTAGGCCCTTGAGGAACGATTGTTCCAGCCAGTATAGTTCAATTGCTTTATTACGATAGGCGAGCCCGACCATTATATCAAGGTAGCAGCAGATGCACGCAATATTTCTAAGACATTTATGATCAAATACTAGTAGCTTACGAGTATCATCTACTCTTAGTGATCACGTTTCGCAGCCGTAAATTAGAACAGAAAGAACTGCTGCACAGTATACTCGTTCTTTTATTGATAGGCGGATATTTCTCCACAACATGTGATGTAAGTGGCAAAAGCCAAAACGGCTTTCTGAATTCGTGCAGGTATTTTGTCAGACATAAATCTATAACGGCTGATCAGGCTTCCAACATAAGTGAAGTTGTCGACGCATTCGACTATTTCACTCTCTATCCTTAGTTCAGGTGTTGATGCAGGCCAGTCCTGAAGCAAAAGCCTGAAGCAAACATCCTAGCATTGTAACTCTGTGCTACCTTAAAACTCGACATTTCATCGGCGTCCTCATCTAACAGGATTATGTCATCTCCGTTCTCTAAGTCGATAAGTGAACCATCTGGTAGGAGATGAATTCGTGACAATTCAAACGATACGAAGTAGTAACAGTAAATTGTGTCAAACATTTTATTTATTACTCACATATTTTCTTCTTTAGCTAACAGTTATTAAACTATTAACAACAAACTAAGTAGTATAAATGTCTACCAAAAAAATATGAACTAGTATGTTTTGTACAGTTTGGTGTGTATAAAATCATGGATCAAATGTCTAAAACCTGCATAGTAGTCGATAATATGTAAATTTTATTTCTCTTAAGTAAAAAATATTAGTCAGTCGACCTATTCACTCTCTAGACGTCTTTGATATCTAGGTTCATATTATGCCCAACTTAAATGGTAACTGACATATCTCTTGAACATCAGATCCATTGTATTTTAGCCATTATAAAACGAAGTATATCAATAATTATTACTTTAGTGTTCCCACTATATAGGAAGTTGCATCTGTTGATTGCCTCCTTTTAACGTTGTTACATCCGAAGAATAAATATTGGGTAACTAGGTTGTTTGTTCACATTCCTTTTATCATATGCTTTCATTTGGCTACTGCAATACGATTCGCCATTCTTAACTTGTTCCCAATCTATCGGTCACAGTATCCCACGTTCACAGATACTTTTGGCGTGATCTTGTATGACAATTATTTTTCATTCTGTATTGTGATGCGGTCTGGTCTGCTTGCATGTAGACCGAGTATGTCTGAAATATACGATCCACACAGTGGAGTCTGATACTTATGTTTTAGACTGAACGGGCTGGGCTAGGTGAGAAGTCGTTATACAGGGGACCAATAAGGACTGAGAGTTGATTCAAGGCTGTTCGTGCTGGTTAACGCATCATTGCTTTAGCAAAGGGACAAGGTTATATAAATCGGTGTTCAAATAGGCGATTTTGTCACATGGTATTTGATGGACCATAGGACAACAAATTGGCTATGGGATGGAAAGTCTACGACCTCGACCTTCACAAAGGAATCAAGGCCATCCAGTAGTTGGACGAGAATCAGTGTAATTTTTTGAACACTCAACGTACAGAGCTGTCATCGGTATCCTCGCACGACATTAGTTATTAATTAGTCATTCAGTCTTTTTCTTATTACTGTCCTAATACATGCAGAAGGAGAAAACTAATATGTCAACTTTAATGGAGCAAATGCAATTATTTCTTCAGTAACAACAGAGTCAATTTTTAGCTTCTCAAGAACAGACGCTTACATCACTTACATCAAAGTCTCCAATCCAGTCCAAATGCACCCCAGAAGATAAGGAAATAGAACCATTACTTGACTTAGTTTCAGAACTTATTTTTGATTCGGAAAGTGGCCATATATTTGAATTATGGTTCGCTAGCATCGGATATCTTTCTCAAATGAAAGGAACGTAAGATCGGTATCACAAAAACTTGACTCACAAGGACACTATAAATATGGAAATTTTATCCTGCCAAGACACCCAAGGGAGTTGAGTTTTGATGAAACCGTTGGTATTTCGAACAAGATATTTTGTGAACAAGCTTTGTTATTTCATATTCATTATAAATGCCTCCAATTAAAAAAGGACGCTGGTGAAGATTATCTGACGAACGAAAGCAGGATTAATCTACAAGTTGAACGTTTAAATTAAGTACATTATCAAATGACCAATTTAAATGCTTATTGTTTGTTTCTGGATTACAGTCTTCCACAGATGCCGATGTTCGAACTCGATTATTATCCCGTATTGATGATGAAATGGTATTACAAATGATCACTGCATTGCCAACGCTTGCTAAATTTAAAGCATGGCACTGCAATGGTAGGAAGTAGATGAAAAACCCTGAAAAATAATAATATCCATTCTGTAAAATACTGCAGAGAAGATAATGCTCTGTTCACAATCGCCACCAAGCTAAACTAAAGAAAATGTTGGTTTTGTTTTGAATGGTATTTTGCGAAGACTTGTCGTTTTCGGAATAACCGATGTAAAGTATGTTATAAATTTGACCATAAATATACTTTCTGTCAACAACGGAATTATTCCACATTGTGGGCAACTGAGAAGTGATAACTGCCCACATACCTCTATCAACGCTCAAGATCACTGGAGTGTCGCGATTCGGGTAATGATCTTTGTCAATTGTTATTTATCACGTGTTAAGATCGCCAACCAGAACACCGACTGTGCCAAACCAATGACGTGTTAACTAGTACGAGCTGCCCTAGAGCCAACTTTGGGTCCTTATTGGTTCTTCCCACCTAGGCCCCTCTGTTCAAGTCCGAGACACAAGTCTCAGCTTCCACTATATGAATCACATGTTTCGGACATACTTGGCTTATACACAAGTAAACCTGACGACACCATAAAATAAGAAATAACAATTATACGAGATTTCAATCTCCACAAAACCCCTTGATAATTATACGAGATCAAGCCGAAAAGTGGCTGTTGTTGTGAGAGACTGTAACTAACAAATTGGGAATAACTTAGGAATAGTAAATCGTATAATGGTAGTCAATAGGTCAAATAAAAAGCTTATGATAAAAGGAATATAAACATAATCTAGTTATCTAACAGTCTATAAATAGTTTTCAGAAGTTACCCATAATTTAATCTTTTCCGGTTATAGCTTTGATATATCAATTCTCAGTGTCCAGCTAATGAGTTAAATCAGCTCCTAACAGTTAGTGCAACATGGAAGTAATCAGACGAGTGCCAAAATCCCCTTGACAAAATCAAGGAAATCTTATCCTCTGATCTATTATTGACTCATTCTAACTCGTAATTGGAAATAATTGTTGCCACCGATGCTTTTAGTTATGATATTGGTGCTGTTATCAGTCATCGTCTTTCGGATGTTAAGGAATTTGAAAGAGAAGTGAGCAGACAACTTCGTAAGCACATAAAGTGCACTTATGTTTATTGATGAAAGCGATCGAAAACAAATAGTAATAACACAAGCATGAGATCATGACAATCTGATAAACGAAACTTGAAATTGATAATGCAGTGTTTCAAATGCGTTACAATTAGATCGTCCCGTCAATCTACCCATCCAACTAAGTGCATTAGACGTATCATCAACTACTATCTTTAATATTATCACCATTATTGTATTTTATTACCGTTTCCTTTGATAATAGCTGTTAATTTTATCATTTTGTTTACCGAAATCAAACAAATTTGTACATACTTGTGCTTGGTTACGTCTTTGTTTCCCTCGCTTATTCCACTTATATTCAAACTAAACTCGTATAAATATCGAAAATAATCATGATTATTTTTCACTAGTAAACTTGCCGACTTTACACATGTTATACACAAAATTGCATTTAATAAACCACTCTGTTTATCTCTACAAATTAATGCTTATATGAGGGAAGATTTTAGCGTAGACAAAATGAAATAAAATCATTTCATCCTTCACAATGTTTTGGTTGTTATTCCTTTACAAAAACTAGTCCTAGGCAATTTATAATTGCATAAGATTTCGCTTGTTCGTACTTACTTTATATATATATATATATAATCAATTATTTTACATCGAATTTCAGAGTTTCTTCTCAAAGATGCATTATCTTGTCTGGGTGCCATAATAAAATTTCTAGATGTAAGTGTTTTACTTTCGTACTTAACTGAAACGATACTTTTTGGTGTTCTAAATTCCGTTCTTTGATCATCGGACATCATTAATGAGTGTAAGGTTATTAAGTATACTGATCAATGGTATATCTGATTGTTCCTTATAATTTTTTTGGATCGGTTAATCTCGGTAAGAAAAAAAATGCTTGACATTATTATGAGCTATTGTTAATACTTACTTACTTACTTACTTACGCCTGTTACTCCCAATGGAGCATAGTCCGCCGACCAGCATTCTCCAACCCACTCTGTCCTGGGCCTTCTTTTCTAGTTCCACCCAATCCTTGTTCATTTTTCTCATGTCTATCTCCATTTCTCGAAGTAATGTGTTCTTTGGTCTTCCTCTTTTCTTTTGGCCTTGAGGATTCCATGTAAGGGCTTGTCTTGTGGCGCAGTTCGGTGTTTTCCTCAATGTGTGTCCTATCCACTTCCAGCGCTTCTTCCTGATTTCTTCCTCCACTGGGATCTGATTTGTTCTTTCCCATAGTAGGTTGTTGCTTATAGTGTCCGGCCAGCGGATCTGAAGTATTTTGCGTAGACAACTGTTAATAAACACCTGTATCTTTTGGACGATGGATTTCGTAGTTTTCCAGGTTTCCGCGCCATACAGTAGAACTGTCTTGACATTTGTATTGAAAATTCTGTGTTGTGTATGCGATAGAAGAGCCAGATCATCTGCAAAGTCTAGATCATCCAATTGCATCCTAGCTATCCACTGTATCCCGTGCTTCCCTTCAGATGTTGATGTCTTCATGATCCAGTCGATCACCAGGAGAAAGAGAAAGGGTGAGAGTAAGCAACCTTGCCTGACACCGGTCTTTACTTCGAACGACTTTGTCAACTGTCCTCCATGCACGATTTTGCAGTTTAATCCATCATAGGAATTCTGTATGATATTGACTATCTTCTGAGGCACGCCGTAGTGTCGAAGAAGCTTCCATAGGGTTGTTCTGTCCACGCTATCAAATGCTTTTTCGTAGTCGATGAAGTTGATATAGAGTGATGAATTCCATTCAATTGATTGTTCCACAATGATCCGTAGAGTTGCGATTTGGTCTGTGCACGATCTATCCTTACGGAATCCTGCCTGTTGGTCTCGAAGTTGGGCGTCTACGGAGTCCTTCATCCTGTTTAACAATACCCTGTTGAAGACTTTTCCTGTTATTGAAAGAAGAGTGATTCCCCTGTAGTTGTCACAGTTGCTGAGATCGCCTTTCTTTGGTATTTTGACTAGAAGTCCTTCTTTCCAGTCTTTTGGTACCTGTTCCTCATCCCAGATTTTTCTGAAGAGAATGTGGATGATCTTTGCAGTAACCGCTATGTCTGCTTTCAGTGCCTCTGCTGGAATGCTGTCTAGTCCTGCTGCTTTGCCACTCTTGATTTGTCTGATAGCCATGCTGATCTCTTCCATTGTTGGTGCGCCAACATCAATTGGGAGGTCCGTGAGTGCTGCTTCGATGTTGGGTGGGTTCAGTGGGGCTGGTCGATTCAAGAGTTTTTTGAAGTGTTCTACCCATCTGTTTCGTTGTTCTTCAATGTTGGTGATTATCTTGCCTTCCTTGCTTTTCACTGGTCGTTCTGGTTTACGGTGATTTCCAGAGAGTTTCTTTGTTGTTTCATACAGTTGTCTCATGTTTCCTTCTCTGGCAGCCTTTTCCGCCGTCAATGCCAAATCCTCCACATATTTACGTTTGTCAGTTCTGATGCTCCTTTTCACTTGCTTGTTTACTTCTGTGTATTCAGCCTGTGCCTTGACTTTTTCTGCTCTTGTTCGACTGGTATTGATTGCTGCTTTCTTGTTCCTCCTTTCTTGAATCTTATCCAGTGTATCGACCGTGATCCGATCCTTGTGATGGTGCTTCTTTTGGCCCAGAACCTCATGACATGTTGAAGTGATTGCTTCTTTTATCTCTTTCCAGTTGCTCTCCATAGTAGTTCCTTCTCCATTGAGTAGATCATGAAAGGCTTGGAACTTATTGCTGAGGGTTATCTTGAATTTATTGAGTTTGTCAGTATCCCGAAGAAGAGCCGTATTAAATTTTTGTGATATTGTCCTCCCCGTTGTCCAGTGCCTCTTGAGTTTCAATTCATCTTGGCGACCAGCAAGTGATGATCTGATACTATATCAGCTCCTCTCTTTGTTCTCACGTCCTCCATCGTCCTCCTGAACTTTTTGTTGATGCAGATATGGTCGATTTGGTTCTGTGTGGTGTGATCCGGTGAAGTCCATGTGGTTTTGTGTATGCGTTTATGTGGGAATATAGTCCCACCTATGACCAGTTTATTGAAGGCACATAGATTTGCAAATCTCTCACCATTTTCGTTCCTTTCTCCCAGTCCGTGTCGTCCCATGATCTCCTCATATCCGGTGTTGTCAGTTCCAACCTTGGCATTTAGGTCTCCCATTAGAATAGTCAGGTCTTTTGTTGGGCACTTCTCGACGATTGACTGCAGCCTATCGTAGAATTGATCTTTAGCGTCTTCGTTGTATTCGTTGGTAGGCGCATAGCATTGGATGACGTTCATTGTAATGCCCGTTTTCTTGGTTTTGAAGGAGGCTTTGATGATCCTTGGTCCATGAGATTCCCATCCTATAAGTGCATCTTGTGCTTGTTTGGACAGCATCAATGCAACTCCTTGTGTATGTGGAGCATTTTCTTGTTCATGTCCGGAGTATAACAGCAGCTCCCCTGAAGCTAGTCGTTGTTGTCCAACTTGCGTCCAATGAGTTTCACTGATCCCAAGCACCTCTAAATTGTATCTCCTCATTTCTGCAGCAATTTGGAAAACTCTCCCAGTCTCCCACATTGTACGAGCATTCCATGTACCTAAATAAATGGTTTCTCTGGTTGTCAGAAGGGGCATCGGCCTCGTGACTTCCGAAGAAACTCGGCTTTCATCGTGAGGCGTCATAATTCTTCTAAACGAAGACCTTCTGACTCCCAGGGCAGAGTTTAAATAGTTTGAATAATTTTTTCTGGTTAGCGTTTTTTTAGCGAGTTAGTTTTCTACGGGATGGGGTCGCTAACCCCATGCCCAACCCTCCTCATTTATCCGGGCTTGGGACCGGCAGTAGCCCCCGGAAAGGGGCTCCAGGCGGAGTTTATTGTTAATATATATATATATATATATATATATATATATATATATATATAATCACAAAATTTTTGCCCTTAATAGAATTTATTTATTTATTTATTTATTTTAACACATAAGTATAGGTACAGAGAGGCACCAAGTACATATGCGCCACACAGATCTCAATTGATTTGTGTGAGGGCTGTGATACTGCTCGGATGCCCAAACCGAAGCAGGTGGTTTTCTTAGGGGGCCACACCTCGAGCCTTCGACCTGAACGTCTGACCCACAAGGCAGTGGAGCATCGTGAGGAGATGCAGTCCCATGGTAGCCGGTGACCAACGATTGGTTCACACACCATTTGTTCCCTCAGGCAGGATACTGGAGCCCATGTGCACCATTGGTTTGGGGTCCGGTTAAAGCGCCGGACATTCGCTTTCCGTCTCATTTTTGCAAACAACACCCCCGCCACGAGAAGGCAGTGAGTAGGACTTCCCTGGCAGAGGCTATATACGCATGGCCATGTGAGAGCAATTCGAGAGGGAGAGCGGACTCTCCTCACTCTCGGCCGTACCAGGGCATTTGGGGGCCCTTAATAGTATAATTACCATTAAACCTTAAAGAGGTGATATTCACTTTTTGTGTACCGAGCTCTTTTCTAAGTAAAGCAATACTACATCATTTGTCTCTGTCAAGTTTGCTGAATGCAATCGATAAATCTAACGATGATTCGATGACCGGAATATAACAGCGTTCTTGTCTTTTCTAATTTCAGCTACTTCAAAAGACAAAACTTGTAAAATAGATTTATCGGGAGAGACCAAAAAAGACTGATATTTTCTTAATAAAGCGTTATATTTAGGTATTTAGCAGCTCTAAGAGCTCTCGTCATTATGGTACAATCTAGGGATATTTAGTGAAGTCAGAAAATCAGTAAATTTTATACTTATAGTAAGAATCAAATTAATGTTTTTATGTTCGTTTTCCTTAATTTTTACTGGTAGTTATCAAAGTTCACCAATTTTCAATTTTCCAAAAGGAAAGCGATTCGAGGTTTAATTTTGTGTATGACAAACAGATATCCATCTAAAGCCTGATACAGACGTGCGTTAACTTAAAATGGCATATCACACATCAGCACTAGATAAAATTAACAGAAGAAATCGAAAGAGAGACTTAAACTTGGGACTATGGTTTGAGCCATGTTGGTAGATTCAGACTGCCTGGTTGGGGTCCGCGTGACTATCGTAACCAATGGTTGGAGACTCTGGGTGACATGCCTCAGAATCGATCACAATGGCGTCGGTGTATACACTCTCTGTCTTCCTTTAAACTAAGAGATTAAAATCGCTTCAAATCTTTCTTTCTAGGAACTAATTCTTTCTTCCTGTACTATGTCCTTATATGCAATCTTTCTTCGATATATTACCACCACTGAATTAGCTACTTCTATGAATCCGGTGTTCATCTTGTTGTGCTAATGCGGTATGGCAACTTGGACCGATGCATATACGTACCTGGTCCTACGTTGCAGCTGACTGACTAAGGTTTGAGGAGAAACAATGGAAAAGTAAGTATAAAAATATACTGAAATTCAAAATTGAAGAATGAATGCATTTGAGCCATGTCACCCTAGTTTCCAACCATTGACGGCGATCATCACGCGGAAACCAACAAATCTGTACATGAAATAATACCCGTGAACAGGTTTCTCAATCTTTTTAGACCAAATGTGCAATCTTTTACAGCAAATCTTGGAAAATTTAGTGTTAACTTTTTTAATTACTGATGCTGATACATCGAACTTACGATTAATAATGCAGGTATCATTACAATTAAAATCAATAATAACGATACAGGTCCTTTCCTAAGCAACGTTCTGAATTAACAAGGGAAAAGAATTGCATTTCAAGCATTCTTCGCATCATTACTTAGAAACTTCAGAAGAATTCGCACTTTGACAATTTCTTTAGCAAAATAGAACTAATCTTATGTGCCTGCTAATATAAATTGATAAGGAGACATGGTTTATATTAAAATGCAAGTTCTGTGCTATTTAAGCTTTCCTATTTATTGTTTGCAAATACTTGAAGCTGTTTTTGTTATACATACTATTGGTTTATAAATTCCCCTTGTGAGTTGGTGTACACTTTATTTATTTATATTGTTAAATTAAATTTCTTGATGGATCCTAGATTTTTCAGTAATATTTTTGTGTTTTAATAGGATGTTTGATTTGTCTTCTAATTGGCCTTCTTTTTTATTAGCTAAACGTTTCTGACATGAATCGTCATGTATTCACATTAGAAACTTTTAGTCTTGAAAATCATGTACGCCTAGATAGTGCTGCCAGTCGGGCATTGCACTTATTACCTGGTCCAGATGATAGTGAGTGTTAAGTGGATAAATTGTTTGTCATTTTGTTTTTTGATGTTGTTTTTAGTATGAGACTTAGACGATATTTGACTATATGATTTTTTAAACAGTAATACATAGAAGCCTTACCTGACAATTTTTGCTGATTATATATCCCTCGTTTTTCTGAAATCCACCTCTCTCTAATGATATAAACAGCGCTTTTTCAATTTGCTTTTAAAGTAATAACAACATAAGCAGCAGATTGATAGAGGCACCTGACCTTCAGCTATTAGATCGCAAGTTGATTTCCCAGTCTACCTATTTTGATACAGAAATTCGGATAGTGTTTCTAGCACTCAAGTTGAAAGTGTGTATGTAGGTTTAGTAAATAGCCATGCACTTTGCTCGACTTATTTATGTAATCTATTAGACAAGTGCCAAAATGTAATCACGCGATTATAATTTCTACTTAACGCTAAATCAGTAATCATAAACAAGAATACTTTTATTTGCATAAATTAATTTTGTAAAGAAAAGTATGGACAGTGTATAATCATGATAATGTAATAATAAAGCGTATAATACTAAATCATATAGTATAAATGACGAAAATCCAGGGTTGCGTAAATTTTACGGGATATGTATAAAAAAAGAAAAGAGAACAAAATTAGTGTACTGACAGTGCATTATAATATGAATAGAGCAAGCCAGTCATAATAAATATGTTTTTTCACTAATTAAGAATGAAGATATTTTAAAATTATTTTAAAGGACACTGGAAATAATTATAATTGAAATAGATTAGGGGAATACGATAAATAACTAATGAAAGAAGAGCGTTTTCAAATGCCATGGTAGATAAATTGAAAGTAGTCATACTAAGGATGCATCGTTTCTGGGGCGTTGTAAGGACTGATATAATTTGTATATACTGTTTTTCACGGATCAACCTTGTTTGGGGATATCATTAAAAATCAGAGTACGGGATAGCTATTTCGTTCTAGTATCAGACTACTTAGTTGTGCACACTCACGGCCCCACCAGCGATCAAACCCAGGATCTTCAGATCTTATTGTGATTGCTTAACCATTAGATCATTAGGTCGTATATCCAATGATATACATTTTCAAATCCAATCGATTTGTTACTTTGCCGATATACATTCAATACGATTGGTGATAACTATTTTATTCTCAGTGTCTGAACTTTATCTGTCATGAATTCGCGCTAGAACTTCAGTAACTTGTCTCAAAGTAAGTTATTAGTAAACACACGATCATATGTTTATTAGTATATGTAAATATAAGACAGATTTATTCTCTATTCAGAGCCCTGAGATTCGGCTGCTCATAACAGTAGGTGAAACCGAGTTCTCACCTACAATCCAACTACTGGGAGTCAAGTGTTTTAATTACCAAGTGCTAATCTCAGAGTCATTTCCGATCGGTTACATAATCGGTTCTGTCTCAATAAATAAAATATTAAGTAATGATAACAGTCTATCGCTGTTGTAAATTATTTATATTTACTCTAATAATTTCTCAACGCATATTATGTTTTACTTGTAACCTCCAATGTCTTAGAAAACAAGTTTCACAGTGTTTATGGCACGTTGAACAATTGTCGAACAGCTCAAGGCCAGCGTCTTCTAGCTCAATGGCTTCGACAACCTTTAATAGATAAGTCAAAAATTGGTATGTCATTATAACGTAAAAAATTCTTTACAGGATAGTAGTTGTAATTGAATTAAAAGGTGGTAGCTTTATATAATTACATCATTTTGTGAAAGTACTTATCTAGTATATTATTAAATGTATACTAAACATCTATAGTGCATCTACAATTTTATTTCTTCAAATTTATGGTAGAAATCCCAGTGCCTACCGTCCAAACTATTTTATATCTAATGTTCACTAGATTGGTACACTGGTAAATAAAAATGTAACACCAGACTGTTGTAAATAAGTTAATGAAGGTAATTACCATAATACTTGTTTTAAAGACCACTTTTTAGGACAAATTAAGGACTATCATTGATAAATCTATCAAGAATTTTATCTTATATATTTATGAATTGGTTCCCTTCAACGTTGGAAAATATTTATTCACCGCTTAGATATTCGTACGTAACTATAGTTTATTTCTTAATTTGTAGAAGAACGTTTAGACTTAGTTGAATCGTTCGTTGAAGAAACTGCGATACGTCGAGGATTACATGAAGATTTCTTACGTCGTATCCCTGACTTACAACGTCTAGGTCGACGTCTTAAGAAAATCAGAGGTTCTGGCCTTCAGGTTGGTTGATTAATACTAATTCTTGGAAATAATCTTTGTGTTTAAATTTCTTGTTTCTATATTATTATCTCTATCTATAATTGTTCGAATTCAAGGTTTTATGTTGAATCTCTGATTTCGAACTTTAAAAATAGTCCCGGTATTATTAATAAATTATTTGATAAACTATCAGTGATCATGGTGACCAATGGCGGTGTTTTAGTAGTTAATACACTCTCGCCTTTTAAGTTAGTAGTAGGTCTTAGTTTCGAGCCTTTTACCACTTCAGTTTAGACATTTGAGTAATACCAGTAGTTTTCTTGTAACTAAATTGTACTTGGACATCAAGTACAAATGCTTGTACATGATAAATAAGTTACATTTGTTTATATTTGACTGGAGATTATTAAAATACTTTTTTTTTTACAGAAAATCATCCTTGAATTATTTCACAATTGATGCCTAAATATTTTTAATATGTCATTTAAAAAAATCCTTGTATTGATTTGACTTTTTTTTAATTGCATTTTTAATGGGACCCATCTAAGTATGTGTTTAATGTACTTGGCTTTGATATACTCTTTTCACTTGACGAATAATGGTTTTACCCAACAATAAAGTTTTGTTCGAACATCCAACACAGACCGTTCACTACAGTGATTAACTTGTGCACAAACACCAATTTTCTTTAAAATAGGAATAGCACAACTCCATCCTGTAATAGATACACATACAGCTGTTAACAGTCATAGTGTAGACTGTGTTTTCTTTATCCTTAACTCGTAACTGTATAAAAAAGGATTGTCTCTTGACTCGTTTCTCTATGGAATTGTTTCAAAGTATGCTTCCTTTCCTTGTAAATTCAGTATATTTATATATATCCCTTTTGCTGACCTATCTTCATCTTTAGTTCCCGACCACAGATAAACTATTGATATTCCCAAGAAATGGATTTGTCTATTCGTTTTCGCTTCCTTCTAGGATGTAGATAGCCTAAATAATGCAACTTCATTCACTTAAGTTTCCTCAATTTCATGTAGGAAAACATCAGTTTGTCTTTAATTCACCCTAGTAACCGACGTGTTCACCTCTAACACATCATAATGAAATGTTTAAAAAATGTTTATTTTAAGATATTTACGGATGAACAGATACATACACAATATGGTGATAACGTTTTTTAAACTCAATACTTATTCATTCTTTCATGAGTAAATTTTTTTATCAGTAGTGGATTCATTCGATTTCTTATCTCATATACACGATTTTTCCAAGCATATTCTCCCCGTGTCAAACCAAATTCATCTTCGTCATCTTCATCCAGTTTTCTTTCAAAGTACCTTTTACGCCTACAACATTTAGCATTATCCAAGCAACAATTCAGTGGGTCACGTAATGTCCAAGGACGTTTTGTTAATCCTATTAAAAGAATAATTGATAACATTTTTTTTCAGAAGTAACATTTGGTAATGTGAGAGGTTTGAGAGTATTATTGAGTTTTTTAGTTTGCACTACGGACTGATCTTAGCTTGACAGACACTGGAAACCACAATGCATTTAGCGGCTCTTTTGCTCTAGTACGTGCTTACAACCTTGCCAAAGACCCGATTCATGACCGTCAGTTCTTGTGACACCCACGTAACCTTGAGACCAGTAAGTTGGAATCCATTTGCTTACACTTCTAACTACAGTCAATGCATGATACTAAGCAACCATCTTCTCATGCCATTGGTATTTAACTTCCTCCACTAGTCGTGGCTTCTAAACAGGATTCCAAGTAGATTAGTTAGTATTTTACATGTCGGGCGCTCGCAACAGGGTCTAAATGTCCTGGGTTCGACCGTCAGTGAGGTTGTGATTAAGCACCACTGGGGCGTCCCATACTAGGACGAAACATCTGTCCATATCTAATCTCTAGCCCGTAACAGTTTGTGAAAAATTCACTTGTATATAAACGAAGAATATTCTTTTCAGCGACTTGTCAGGTTACACTCAAATTTATCAGATTTGTTTATTAATAATAATGATTTCTTATACACTCAAACGCAGTGTAATCAGCACACATCTCTGGATTTAATTGATTTTCATATTATTTCATGTATTATGTAACTTCTGATCCAAGATATGATGCATTTAACTAATTACATTAGTTATTTCTCTTATCCTATTCTAATGAATATTTATTCTGATCTCAAATGTAATCTCTAAAAAACAGTTTAGCTATATGAAAAAATTATATAATACAAATGCAAAAACACTAAGTGACGAAATCTAAGGGAAAAATTATTAGGGTAGAAAGTTTGTTGAGTTTCATGGTACACATCATGAACTAGATTCAACTATATCATCAGAGCACAACGAACAAATTACAATGAACCCTTATATCATACAGAATCATGGAATTCTCTATAAAACAACGAACACTCTTCAAAATGTTTTAGTTCAAATAAAAGATCAAATTTCTATCACTTCGACATAGAATCTGTGTTTATAGCCTTGGATGTGTAAATTGTGATGCGTTCTGTATGGAAGTCTCGTAAAATTATGACTCACACCGAAGAGCATATAAGCTACACTAAATGACCTAACGACTCTGCAGAGCGGGGAAATTTACAAGTCAAACCAGAAATAACAATACATGCTATTTTTAACAACCACCAGATCGATCTTAAAAACATCAAAATGTTTTTCCAATTATAAAGAAAGGCGAGTAGCTGAAGATTTTCATACTTTACTAGAACCTACCGCCTTTAACAAAAACAAACCCCTAACAATATACAACATGGACTATTTGTCCAAATACATGTGACCTGAAGTTCTTGCGTTTAATCTCTAGTGTGGTGTTTTATGAGAATTGCAAAGGAGTCTCATACTAAACTGAAATACTTATCCTCTGTTTTGTGATTTCCACTGTTTGTTTAACTAACGTCGATTCGCGATATGAAAACTAAAACTGTATTGGGTAATTCACAATAATAATCCACAATTGCATAGATTAAAAAGCGAATACATCCATATTTATCATATCGAAAATTTCTAAGGTAAGAAATAGTTATAAAGGAGAGAGACGATAAGAAACAAACGAAAGTACGATTAAATATATATATATATATATATATATATATATATATATATATATATATATATATATATATATATATATATATATATATATATATATAAAGCATAACATGATATTTAACAATTGACTAAAAAATAAAAATTTGTTAATGTAATTGCATCACTGACACCTACTGTAAGCAGCCTTGTCACCTAATTTCCTGACAGATTTCATTTGCGTACTTTTCACTTTATACATAACTTAGAATGATCTCGTTGACCAACCCATAGTTTTTCTTCGTTGGCTAACTTTAACTGGTATTCTATAAACTATTAACACCAGCTTTCTTGATCTAATTAAGATTTAACTGTTTGAATATTTCTATCCAAGTAAAATCATTTTGCGGACGAAAAATGCTCACTACATGTTAGGTGGTTGGAGGCAGTCGACAGAAAACCCTGAACCTATGTTCCATGTTATTTGGCACTAGTTATCAAGGCGTACCTGCATTTATCGGGGAAATAATGTGTTCAAACCTGGGTTACCTAGGTTCATAACCTGAGAGGTTTCCATGATGCTTGCGGGCTGCGACTGACCTCTAAATATTATTTTCAATAAATTCTCTTCAGGTTACATGATTTCTAGCTTAAATTAATAATCTTAGGTAAAATGGTCACTTTCGAGGTAAATTCATTAAAAAAGTCAAAAACATGAATTAAGGATCGTTAGTAAATTGGATTTGTACGCGTTAAAATGACTAACTTATAACATATAATTTGGTCAGATGACAACTGCCTTCAGGTGTTGAAAAATTTAAAGCCTAACCGACTTGGACAAATTATCGCCAGTCAAGTTGATTGAAAACGATTGTTAACTTGAAGGCTTTTTTGACAAGATGGGTTAAAATAAAACTATACTTTTACTTATACTAAATGTTCAAAAACACAAAAGTAAAACATCATACTTTGTATAACCGTTAACAGAATATTTCATGTGGTTAGTAATTAAATTATTATAGGGTTGGGTGTATTTATGGAGATTAACATAAGCTTTCTGTGATACTGTTCATGAATTGACTCCACTATGGTGGGTGCCATTAGACACCAAAGGACATTGGATAGCTGTTTCATCTTAGTATAAGACTCTTTAAAAGTATGCCCTCACGAATTGATCGAAGTTAAAAATGTTTACTTTTACATGTCAACTCGGAGATCTGACGGTTAAACGCTCTCTCAAAGACCTGAGATTTCGGACTTGGACCCTTGTTTCAATGCAATGTACGTAACCCTTTGATTTGAACATCTTTCAAATTCCATAGGTTCTGATGTTGATGACGATATAATGGGATAAAAAGGTGACATAATTTTCGGTCAATATTTTTTATATCAATTTAGTATAAATTTCATTCTATATGACATGTGTAAACCTTCATTCATTTAAGGCACACTACATTCATTGTGCTTTTGCAGTAACCCTATATAATTTGTCCCGTACCATATGATACTGTATGTAAAATCCAGTGTATAAATTGGTGTATTTTGGTCTAACAACGACCTATCTTGAAACGTTTTGAACTAGTCAATTAGTTTCCATTTGCATCAGTCTTCTGTGTTCTCACTTTGCGTCGTAGGAATTACAGTGGTCCGCGATTGTCACGTATAAGCAGTAAAACTACGGATACAACAGCAGTGACTGAAACACTGCAGACGCATTTGAAGTTATGATCAGCTGGTTATGGTGATCTGACAGAATCCGAACAAAAATGGTGTGATTTTGTACAATTCGTGTGCTTTATATTCAGTACCTAATATAGCAAAGTTGCGTTATTTTTATTCACTCGATTATAAAATATTTGAGGTGTAGTACACGTGTTTACAGTTCGATTTGCCGCAATTCATAATAACACAAAAAGGATAAAATAGTAGAAAGAAAAATAAAAAATTTCTTATCATGATTATGTCAGTGAGAGTAAATAAGTCAATTAGAAAATACATCCCGAAGATGATTGATGGAATCGGGCAATGTAAATAATCTGATATTACCAGAACTCAAAATTCCTGAGAAGAATAGATACGTTTAAGTTATTACAACCAATTCGAAACATAGTCCTCTATCGTCTTCAACCATTATGACTGTTTAGACGACTCTGGTCAACAAGTTTTCACCTCCGACACCGATCAGGACGTCACTTAACGATCTCATGTTTACATTTGACCGCTTCTAATATTTTTTGAAAGGTACCCCTATTTTAGTCGTCTATTTGTTTGGACCACTCGATATTCAATCATTAGACTACTAGTTGTAACCCAATTTGGTTTTGAGCAAATTAATTGTAGCATTAGTCCTCTCACAAAAAATGTATCTCAGTGCCTGAATACGTATATATTTATTGATATCAATAATTTATTCTAATCATTTCGTTTTTCATTTTGATTAGTAATCACTCCATAACTGATCAAGCTGTCTTTTTTTGTATAAATAGCTATACCCTCAATGTGAACCACTGTTGTTTGTTTCAAACAGTTTAATCACTGTTTGAGGGACTTAAGATGTATGATTATCATTCATAAAATACTAAATAATGCATGTAAATTTTGGAAATCCTGTAACTACTATTCTCTTAATTGTTGGTTATGTATCTTCTTTCTTTGTAAACAACTCGATAGACTTGTTCCATTTACTTCCATATCAATACCTTTTAGATTACCCCAATAAACTGTTTGATGTAAAATTGAAAATATAATTTTTTTTAGATCAATTTAATGTTTATAGATTTATAATTTTTTTTAAGCTTGTATGGACCAATTATATTAGTTCAATGAATTTCTCGAATTTCAATAAATCTGTCCTATAATGTAAACCATACCGCGGATTTTTTTGTTATCCAATGAAATTATATTAACAACGGGAAATCTTAGCTCGTCACATTCATAAGTTCAACAAACATCATTTATCTGTTTACTTCAGTTAAATTAAATTGAAAAAGTCTTCTGTGACATGTCGTGTGTCTAAGTTACAAGAGGCAAGATAAAAATAAATTTACTAGTTACTTAAAAATGCAATTAGGTTGTCAAAAAAACAACTGATTAGTTAAATACTTTTGTTCGTCGTATTACTCACTCTTAATTTTATAAATTATTAACGTTAAATACTCACAAACTATCAGTGTAGAAAAACCATTTATTCAAAGCAAAATGATATCATTTATGCTTGTTTTTTTAAAGTCAGAATATCAGTATATATATATATATATATATATATATATATCATTATATACATATTTTCTGATATACGTGGATGTGACTGACTTATTCATTATTAATTATCACTGTTCAGTATGTATTGTGATTGAATGAATACAGCTTCAAAGACTCCATAATATGCTCACCATTGAGGCAATTTTCCAATTCCTAGTGAGGAGTCGTAACCAATGGATTTGAACCATTTCAAAGGTGTTTTGTTCTCTGAGTCCCATCGTATAATCGTCGGATGTGGATCAGTCACACACTAATAACATTGGAAGGTATGCTTACAGAATGTTAAAATGCAAGCTACTGGATTCCAACTCAGTGGTGTAAAGGCTAAGTTCGCACCATGAGACTTTATAGTCCCAGTTTTGATCTCTGGTGAGGTCTTTGGTGAGCACTGTCAAGGAGTTTCATATTAGGATCTAACACATGTCTACCAGGTCTCATAATGAACGTATAACTATTAGAACCACTGAATTACCATTCAATGGTCGACGTTCATAACTTCGCAATATTTCCCAGCCATCTTTCAGTTATAATGGTAGGTCACATATAAGGACAAAAAAGCTGTCTGCTGCTTTTTTTTCAGTAGATGTCTTACCTAGATTAGTTCGTGGTATAAAGTATGAAATTCAATAGTCCGGACAAGTATCTTATGGTACTAATTCCAGTATAATTATTAAAATGTCCGATGTTTACTAACTTATTAAAATGCAGGGATTTTTTTTATCTATATATTTTTTAACTTAAGTACTCTATAAACTACTTTATGTTTTTGTTTTACACATACTAAATGTTCCTTGTGCAGTTTCGTAACTATAAGTAAGATTCAGGACTTTAAGCAATAAATGCCGTTTGATTATGATTCAATTATACTCTAGTGAAAATTAAACGAGTTTTCACGTACGAGGGTATATTGCCTTAATTAATTCCTTGAATCATCCGATTTATAATTAGATAACTTCTTTAATCGTACATCTAATTCAGTAATACAATTATTTTTCATACCCTTGTGTTACATGTTCGAAATCCTACTATATTCAATTATTTTTAAGCTTGCGTATAGTTATTGAAACACGAGTGACTTTAGTACTCAAACAAAACCAGTTTTTTATACGTAGAATTGATCATGATATTCTATGCATTAACTTTTAGTTTTCAAGCTATATACGTTTCTTCCTTTAGTATGGTGAAAAATATACTACTTATACTCAGATGAGTATAGGAGTCTAGGCTACGAAAAAATGATTAAATAATAGTCTTTGCGTGGTTAGTATTACTCTATTCTACTCTCTTTCTCTCTCGATTTCAGTAGCTTCTTAGAACGGTTTCTATATTGGGAATTTAGCGATCATAATCAGTTTTTTTATGTCGAAATCTATCTAAATCGTGCCTTTCCATCATTTTCTCTTGATCGCACTAATATATTTTCATATCTTTCACATAGAACCCAGAAAAATTGACCGCTTAAATGTTTAGACTATTAAATCAAAGCTTAGATTGTTCATTCAATTATCTCTTTAATCCTATTGAGTGAAACAGTCTTTCTCTGATTGATGTAGTTCAACATGTACATATGTCATTCTTATTTCCTCCATGTTGTTAATAAACTTGCTGTCTACTGCTGTCTTATTTTGAATGCGTAAACAAACAAGTAATCTAAAAATTACACAATATATATGTGGTTTAGATTGCATTTTAAAAATAAACTAACTTTCTTCATTTTGTAGAATTGACTGTGGATATTCACTCCATATTTTGTAATATTGTCCAAATGTTCCATAGATAATTATTGTAAATGAAATAAGCATGAAACATTTTATATAAATCATAGTTTTTATTTACGACTCTTTCTTGCGTGTTTATTTTTTGACAAAGAAGAAAACTTTTGGTTTGTTTTCTCCTGTTTTTTTTTTCTGATAATTTGTTTATTTTAATTAAATCAGTTGTAGAATGGTTAATTAAAATATACTCGCTCTATATATGTATATATAGATTTCCATTTATCGTAGGTTGGTAGCTAGACGAACTTGATTCATTGGTTCTTTGTCCAAAGACCAATCAAGTTTGAGATGTTTTGCTTTTAAAAGATGAGTTTATCATTTTTTATGGGAAACTAAAATGCTCACACACATTTTAATAAGATGAGTTTATCAACCGTCAGTTAGCCTATAACATGAACCAGACTTGATGGTTTTTTTAAAGTAGATAGATTGTGGCTAACAGGGAAATTCAAGATGCACGTTTCGTTCTATTTGCGACTGGTCATATGTGTGTGCTTCCGTATTCCAGTGTTGATTTTCATATTAAAATGTGAACCTAATGCCTTTCGTTTCGAACGTCAACACACTATCTACTGAGCTACTGAGTCCAGATAACCACTAATTTATGCAACGGGTATGATATTTACACTATTATTAGCATGACTGTTTGTTATAACATTCACTTGTATATAGTTGATTAAGATTAAGATTGTATTCGTTAGGAGTTTTTGAATATCCCTGATTACAGCGAGACGTAGAATAATATCAACGAAATGATTAACAGTCGCTGGAACAACATTTAATGGATGTTATATACTTCTCTTTCAGGATATGTGTTCTTAAGCGAGCATGGCGAAGTCAACTATGCCTTCTTTCTGTTTCACATATATCTGGCCGAAGATGAATGATAATAGTCGCTTCTGTGTAGAGCAAATTAATTGTGATATTTGCTGTCTGTTAATTATTTAAGTCTTCAAATCTAATAAATCTTTTCATCAAAGCCCTATCAATCACACTTGTAAAATTTTTATTCCTCTGTCAGTTATCCTCACGAAACCTTGCGTAATATATTTATTTTCCCAAGTGTATTCGGTCAGTCAAACGCAACATAGAACGTGGTATGTCTGTACATAGACTCAAGTTACCATAGCTCATCTGCATAGCCAGAAGAAATTGTCGAAGTGAATCTCAGAGTAGTTGAAGTAGTAACAGTACTAATGGTAATATGAAAGATTAGATATCCAAGATACAATTCGAGAGAAAAATCATAAACTACTGAAATATTTAAAAAGAAATTTATGAGGAATTTAAGAACTTATGATTGTAAGGATTACAAAGAGTGAATGCAATGCGTCGTTGCAGACAATTTCGAGCTGTCGTTCGAAGTTTCTGAACATTGGTTGCTATAATCTAGTGGATTCCAACCAGGTAGTGTGTACGTGCTTAAATGCCCAGTCGAATAGGGAATGTTTACATGAATTGATGTCACGTTTCGATTTGGCCACACTAGCTTTATTCTAACCTACTACATTAGCCATCATTTCGCTCCGAGGTTAGCGGTGGTTGGGCATATGTAGCACATGTCTTACTAACCTTAGTTGAAAAATATTTACTACCTCATCAGTTAAATCTGATTTCGTAAATTCCTAGATTATGTTTACCATCAAAAATATTCTTCATTTATATTTCTACACACTTTAGGATGTCTATCGTATATATCAAGCTGTTTTACGCTTACCATATGCTGTTTCATTATTGAATCAATACACTGGATCCAAACGATCAACTGTTTACGAATGTCTTATAACGCCTTTACAAGTAAATTATTTGTTAATTCTACGTCTATATTTTTTATTTATGTAATGCTTATAATCGACTGTAGTCATCCAAATAATATACAAGATTCAGAAATTGTGAAACTTCATATCCGTATGTTTTTTAATTCATCAGTATCATTTGTACAGTGCCCAAGTGATCGTTTTCAGTTAGTCGCAGTTGAAAATCTCAAGTGACATGAAATAAAATCAGTTCTTTTTTATCCGAAAATGATTAAATAATGTATAACTTCTGGAAACTATTTATAGACTGCTAATATATATATATATATATATATATATATATATATATATATATATATATATCATAGGTAACTAGATTATATGTTTATATTCCTTTCGTCATATGCTTTTATTTGGCTACTGCTATACGATTTGCCCAACTTAAATCTAGTAACTGACATAACTCTTGAACTTCAGATCCATTGTATTTTAACCATTATAAAACGAAGTATATCAATAATTATTACTTTAGTGTTCCCACTATATAGGAAGTTGCATCTGTTGATTGCCTCCTTTTAACGTTGTTACATCCGAAGAATAAATATTGGGTAACTAGGTTGTTTGTTCACATTCCTTTTATCATATGCTTTCATTTGGCTACTGCAATACGATTCGCCATTCTTAACTTGTTCCCAATCTATCGGTCACAGTATCCCACGTTCACAGATACTTTTGGCGTGATCTTGTATGACAATTATTTTTCATTCTGTATTGTGATGCGGTCTGGTCTGCTTGCATGTAGACCGAGTATGTCTGAAATATACGATCCACACAGTGGAGTCTGATACTTATGTTTTAGACTGAACGGGCTGGGCTGGGTGAGAAGTCGTTATACAGGGGACCAATAAGGACTGAGAGTTGATTCAAGGCTGTTCGTGCTGGTTAACGCATCATTGCTTTAGCAAAGGGACAAGGTTATATAAATCGGTGTTCAAATAGGCGATTTTGTCACATGGTATTTGATGGACCATAGGACAACAAATTGGCTATGGGATGGAAAGTCTACGACCTCGACCTTCACAAAGGAATCAAGGCCATCCAGTAGTTGGACGAGAATCAGTGTAATTTTTTGAACACTCAACGTACAGAGCTGTCATCGGTATCCTCGCACGACATTAGTTATTAATTAGTCATTCAGTCTTTTTCTTATTACTGTCCTAATACATGCAGAAGGAGAAAACTAATATGTCAACTTTAATGGAGCAAATGCAATTATTTCTTCAGTAACAACAGAGTCAATTTTTAGCTTCTCAAGAACAGACGCTTACATCACTTACATCAAAGTCTCCAATCCAGTCCAAATGCACCCCAGAAGATAAGGAAATAGAACCATTACTTGACTTAGTTTCAGAACTTATTTTTGATTCGGAAAGTGGCCATATATTTGAATTATGGTTCGCTAGCATCGGATATCTTTCTCAAATGAAAGGAACGTAAGATCGGTATCACAAAAACTTGACTCACAAGGACACTATAAATATGGAAATTTTATCCTGCCAAGACACCCAAGGGAGTTGAGTTTTGATGAAACCGTTGGTATTTCGAACAAGATATTTTGTGAACAAGCTTTGTTATTTCATATTCATTATAAATGCCTCCAATTAAAAAAGGACGCTGGTGAAGATTATCTGACGAACGAAAGCAGGATTAATCTACAAGTTGAACGTTTAAATTAAGTACATTATCAAATGACCAATTTAAATGCTTATTGTTTGTTTCTGGATTACAGTCTTCCACAGATGCCGATGTTCGAACTCGATTATTATCCCGTATTGATGATGAAATGGTATTACAAATGATCACTGCATTGCCAACGCTTGCTAAATTTAAAGCATGGCACTGCAATGGTAGGAAGTAGATGAAAAACCCTGAAAAATAATAATATCCATTCTGTAAAATACTGCAGAGAAGATAATGCTCTGTTCACAATCGCCACCAAGCTAAACTAAAGAAAATGTTGGTTTTGTTTTGAATGGTATTTTGCGAAGACTTGTCGTTTTCGGAATAACCGATGTAAAGTATGTTATAAATTTGACCATAAATATACTTTCTGTCAACAACGGAATTATTCCACATTGTGGGCAACTGAGAAGTGATAACTGCCCACATACCTCTATCAACGCTCAAGATCACTGGAGTGTCGCGATTCGGGTAATGATCTTTGTCAATTGTTATTTATCACGTGTTAAGATCGCCAACCAGAACACCGACTGTGCCAAACCAATGACGTGTTAACTAGTACGAGCTGCCCTAGAGCCAACTTTGGGTCCTTATTGGTTCTTCCCACCTAGGCCCCTCTGTTCAAGTCCGAGACACAAGTCTCAGCTTCCACTATATGAATCACATGTTTCGGACATACTTGGCTTATACACAAGTAAACCTGACGACACCATAAAATAAGAAATAACAATTATACGAGATTTCAATCTCCACAAAACCCCTTGATAATTATACGAGATCAAGCCGAAAAGTGGCTGTTGTTGTGAGAGACTGTAACTAACAAATTGGGAATAACTTAGGAATAGTAAATCGTATAATGGTAGTCAATAGGTCAAATAAAAAGCTTATGATAAAAGGAATATAAACATAATCTAGTTATCTAACAGTCTATAAATAGTTTTCAGAAGTTACCCATAATTTAATCTTTTCCGGTTATAGCTTTGATATATCAATTCTCAGTGTCCAGCTAATGAGTTAAATCAGCTCCTAACAGTTAGTGCAACATGGAAGTAATCAGACGAGTGCCAAAATCCCCTTGACAAAATCAAGGAAATCTTATCCTCTGATCTATTATTGACTCATTCTAACTCGTAATTGGAAATAATTGTTGCCACCGATGCTTTTAGTTATGATATTGGTGCTGTTATCAGTATGTATGAATGTAGAAATTTGTACACTATGCTTACGTTTTTCCTTTATTGTGCATTCACAGATGTGTTAACTAGTTACACAACAAATTTAGCTTTACTGTTTTTGTTTGCAGATAATGTCTTAATTCCCTTAATCTGCATTGTGTAAACAAAAAACAATATATGACCTGTTTCTTCCCACAGAATACTTTTTATTTTCTTGTTACTTTTATTATCGTTACTATTACTAACAATAATATTTCAAAATGTTTACTATTGTCCATTGAACAGAAATGTATGTTTTGAAAATATGCACGAAAAATAGCATCTTTATATTAATGTGAATTAATATTTATGTTTACAATCTGTTGTTTATTTCACATAGATTTAACAAAAATGTTTTAAGTATTTATATCTATTTATGAATATTTGTTTTGTTTTTTTACAAATTTATTATATCGATGGTGTTACTATTTCATCACAGTTTCCATTCATATGTGACTAATATCCAGACATGCTCAAAAATGCACCGTGAAACGTTTTTAAAATATTGTTAAAATCATTTCGTGCGATCTTATCGCATCAGCCCGACGTGATGAAATTAAAAAGAATAGCAAATTAAATCGAATTAATCTTAGTTTCAATGGTAATGTAAAATATTGAGCATTTCGAGTACTGTTCGAAAAGACAAAATGAAAGCTATTCTTGAAGAAACACTGGAAATCAAGATTTACAAGAATAAATTTACAAGAGTAAATGTGTCTTCCACAGCACACAATATCTCCAATAAGCTATCGTTATTATCAATCTGGTCGCTATCAAGTAGTCTACTTTTGCCAACGTGGCTCAGACTAACAGTCAGTGACTAGTTATAGTTATTTGCTTTTGCTCTCTATATTTTTTCAACTAGTTCCTATACCACCAAACATCGAAGTAGGCTGTGGTTCGACACCAGTAATACATTCATCACCTCAGTTGATGAAAATCTACTACCTTATCAATTAATCTACCTGCTGTGTTTGAAGAGATTACGAGTTCACCTAAATCTGCAAAAGGAACGAAGACTCAGCGACACTATGAACAGAGAAGCTAGCTATTCTGATGTATCCCAGCTCCGCTAACTAGAGAGTGAAGTCCAGGTTCAGAAGAAGGAAAATATATTCCACAAGCAGCCAGAAGCATGAGCAACAACAAGCACAATTTAAGCGTATATATACAGCATAAAAGTGTCCTTGGAAAACGTTATTATATAGCATATTAAAAGATACGACGAACCAATGACGTTTAAGGTCCTTCCGAGTAGGAAATAGGATATGAAGGTGAAAATGGGCGCTCTTAGCGTGAAAATAAGAAATTCAAATATCAAAAATAAAATTACAATAACAAGTTATTTATCAAGCGAGTTCTAAGGATCTAGCATCCTCAACACTAATTTCCCTGCCTAATAGTTTGTGTCTAACCTCAACATCGCTCATTCGGTCGCACTACGAATCATGATCAATATTTCCAATATTTATACGATATCGAATTTCACAACATTGAGTGGTTGAGAACATAAACTTTTATAATCTGTTATCTGAATTTTTCTAATAGGGAGAATAAAAATAAATTTGTTACAATTTATCTATGTATAAATCTGAAATTGGCGTATGACCGAATCTGAACATAACTCTTAATGAATAAATAATTCTGCTAGCTGTATATATGTATGTTTCGAATTGCATTAAAATGTGGTATGCAATTGAAAAGAAAAACTTTGAACACCGTAAATTTCTACTCTCTGTTTCTAGTTAAATGTAGTCTGAAAACACTAGATTGTAATCACAATGTTTAATAAATAACAATAACTATTGGGATTATCATTCTTTTTATGTAGTCATTCACCTGTTCCCTAGTTTTGCATAGTTTATTTATAGCCTATGTAATTTGTATATCACCTAGACAATCAAAAATACTGTACGAAATACCTTAAACTTAGACTATCATATCGAACGTCGATTAATAAATATGAAAATAAAATTATCACTTTGTTAAGATCTCCGATTCGTCGTCTTTGATACTAGACCTGGAATTTATCTATAATAATAATAATAATAATAATAATAATAATAATAATAATTATAATAATAATAATAATTATTATTATTATTATACTGAAATCTCCCGACCGTTACTGCTACCTTGATATAATGGTCGGGCTCGCCTATCGTAATAAAGCAATTGAACTATACTGGCTGGAACAATCGTTCCTCAAGGGCCTACTATGCCAGACAGGTCAGTTAAAGAGCGGTAGGACTATAAGCAACAAACCAAATTTTCGAGGGCGAAGTCGTACTGCTAACTGTGCAGAGGTGTGACAGCAGTTAGGCATTTCCTTCAGACAATTAACATAACAGGGATGCTGTCTTCCCACAATGAGGTGTGGATTTTGAAAGGTCCAACCCTAAAAATGCAAACCTCGCCTTATCCCTGGAATATCCGTCTCCGGATCCTAGCGTGATCATTCAATTAATTTAACCTCGACAAAACGGAGAGCTGAAAAGATACACTTGTTTATCTGGCGACCTGGTGGTTCATTTTCGTCTCCTATGTGCATTTCGGTTAAACGGCTCCGAAAGAATTCGAAAAAATAGGGAGACAGGTTGTTGTCTTTTCATCGTTTCTGTATTTGCTCCAATATGCTAATTCTTCCAAAAGCTAAACGCTGAGACATAGTACTCGTAGCAGGTGACTATGTAGACCGAGAGGTTCTGTGGCCTTGTCTGTCATTGAAAGAAGTACCTCAGAAGTACATATATTTTGTGAGGGCTCTTTACTCAATCTAAAAATCTAGTCAGAGCTCATGGCGTGTTACGTATGCCTGAACACCGATTACCACGACGCGCAGTGCTGACTAGTGTTGAAGACGGTTGAAAGAAAGTTAGGGGAGGTCACTAACTTCTGGTCCTAGCCATGTTGGTAGATGCAGACTACTTGGTTGGGGTCCGCGCGACTATCGCAACCAATGTTTGGAGACTCTGGGTGACATAGCTCACAGTCTATCTCAGTGGCGCGCATGCATTTACATGTTACCTCTCTATAGATCAGTGTTTCCAGTATTCCTTCATACATTCCTTCCCATCAACTTTTCGAACCATATTCTTGATGTTTATTCTTTCTTATTATGGTTGCTGCTACATTGTTTCGGTTTCTTTGACGTACATCTTGTTAACTTCATTTCGTCGACCTAATGTGATATGACAACTTAGACCAACACCTGTTTGTGCCGGGCTCTATGTTGATATCTATCTTTCTGAGTTCACCCTTATCAAGCATCTTTGGTTGACATACATTTTTGTCTGCCTCTTTGTTGATTATTTATAACTGGCTGTTCAAGCATTATGTGTGCAAAGCTCTTTGTTCACTATGACTGACACGTATTAACGACGTCGAATTTCGGGTTACTGGTAAGATCCGAAAGTTTCTACAAATGGTATATATTTCAGTTAAAAACCCTTGAAACTATACCATATACATTGCAGGCCTCATCATATTTTGCTGATTACGTGATCGTTCTAAGACACCGCTCCATGAACAGAAAATAATTCACATGAGTTTCAATAATAATATAACAACCAAAACTCAACTGAAAACTTGTTACGAGACATTACTACAAAATACAGTCACATAAGCTATGCTTATACGAGAAGCGATGATTCTAGGTTTGTTTACAGTCAGTCAGTCATACTCAATGTAGGACCTGTCACATATATGAATCGGTGTAAGTTGTCACACTAGACTAGCATAGCGAAATGAAATTATCCAGATAAATCCCAGATTGTTAGAAACTTTAACAGAACCAGTAGTAATAGAAAGGATTAGGTAGACAACAAACGGAAAAGTTGTAGCCTTATTATGATGTTGATTCGATAGCATGAAACGCCAAACAGCTAACTGCTTTGCATAGAAAATTTTTTAAAGTAGGTACACCAGTAAGACATATGAATTTCAAATACAGATTGTGATTAAAATCCACCATAATTTAATTATCTTTGCTTTTCGGTGGATATAATAGTAGTATCTGATTGAATAGCATTCAAAAATAGATTACCTTTCTCGTAGAGCAAAGAGCCATTTGGGTTTTCTTTTTCAGATCGAAGGAAATAGATCAAGTCTTGTGGTTTAATTATGTGCGAGAATTCAGCTTAAATAAGCAAAAACAAAGAGCTTTATGAGATCAGAACTGGAACCAAACCACATTTATATAAATGTGGATCAAAACCAAGAGTAAAATCTCAGCGTTTTTATGTCTTCAGATACAAGTACCAAAAAAGGGAACTAACTAAAATCATAGCTGCTGTCATTAATTAAAAAACCCTCGATATTTGACCAACTATATTTACAAAAAAGACTTCCCACTGTTAGTTGGAGGACTCAGTTTATTGGTTTAAACTTAATGCAATAGTAAACTACGACCAAAACTATTGGATAATTCATAAGGGATCAGTGATATAGTTTTATCAGGTATTTTCCGCTTACCAATTTAGATTTACAATTTTAAGACTTGATCCACCTCTTTCGAAGTCATTGTTGAACTATTTAAAAGTAATGTCTATCATGAATTAACATATCAATAAGCATAATAAATGCATTGCTTTTATATGTTTTCTCTCTGCTCTGCTTAGAAATCCATGGATAACTTCATTCTGTTTAAAGACCTAGTGGAATCCAACGTGGATTTGGACTATGTTAACCAACGAAATGAGTTCATTATTCGTGCTGATAAAGATCCGTTGCTACAAGGTTAGTGTCACATGGATCACTTTTTGATTGTTGTTCATGATTATTGTAAAGACTGATTTCCTTGATCAAGAAACAAAGCGTCTGTTGAAAATTCAGTTTACTGTCCTTCACTTATATTTGACATTACAGCTCAGTATCTTTACCTGTCACATAGACAAAGTATAGTTTATCTCAACGTCGGACAAACTGTATTGTGTATTAATTTTCTTTCAAAATTTTAATAGTCTGATCGGCCTTGTAGATATTATTATTACTTTTTAAAGGTAATAAATTAAAATTTATTCTCTTTTGTTTCAAAAGCTCTTAACCATAGAAAAGTTGCTTGGTTTTTTTGTGCTTACTTATTATACTATCTCTCATTCTAGCTTACACCTAGTATGACTTGTTTTTGCATTGCTAATGTACTATGCGTAAATCACCGTTTTTATTATTATTATTATTATTATTCACATACATAATTAGAAATAAGGAATAAATTAGACAATTTGGAGGAAAGAATTCGAGATGAATTTAGACGTGTAAGTACCGATTTATAGTTATTTATTGTATTTATTGTTACAATTATATATATATATATATATATATATATATATATATATATGCATGCTTATTACTAAAGAATTTGTTTTATAAATAAATGCCAAGCAGTACGATATTTTTTAAAACAGTTTATTGTTGTGTATAGCGGGTGGAAAAATGTTTATATATATATATATATATATATATATATATATATATATATATATATATATATGACTAAACTGTCTATCTGTACTCTAGTTCCAAGTTTACATTTAATTAGTTCATACTTTGGAGTTTTATTTATCATTATCTACTCATTCTTCCTTTTCGAATCTCATTTCCTATGCCTCATTTTTTTGTAATCACATTGATACTTCTATTTTGGTATTCACATTTATAATTTCACTTTGGTTTGCTTATTTCCTGTGGAAATATGAATCGATACACAATATTCATCAGGTTTTTACTTTGATTAAATCTGACTAATTTATTGACTTTTGCACTCATATACACCGATTATTCCATTCCCAGTTTAATGATTCCCATAGAGTATTCAAAACTGAACCTGAACCAATGGTTCAGATTCCTAACTTTCACTGAGGGTTTTATTTCAAGCTCCAGCCTCCACTCGATTTACTTTTTTTTTGCATCCGGCATTTAGGAGAGGCTATATCGACATATTCATAGCAGAGATGTGTTGATAGCTTTTAATGAGTGAAATAAAACCTTCAGTGAAAATCGTTCACTTACATGCCTCATTCGTCCATTAAGTAAACGGAAAATTTTTCGAACATACTAGATATTTCACTTTTGTAGGACATTAAAAGAGGATTGTCAACCCCACATCAGTTTATTATATTACACTCGTCTTTGATCAGCTTGTTTAATATATTACTTTTTTGGGTGATAAAAATAACAGAACACATTGAACCTTTTTAATCGAAACAATTTTTCGATTGAAGGAGCTAGTTCCGGATTTTAACGTTCACATATATGTGTACATAAGTTGTTGTTGTTCTGGAAAACACTTCTACATGAAGTCGTGATAATGTTGCCCAGACTGTCTAAGAAGTCATTGCAATTGTACTGTCTAGCTCAGATAGCTCAAAGACGAACTGAAAATCTCTGTCATTCCAAAACTGCTGCGGTTTCAACTCAGGATGTTTTCTTAAGTAAATATTGTCTGTGTTCAATATCATCTTGTGGTTTCATGGGGCATCCCATCTAGATTAGGCTGTTGAACTAAATTATTCAAAACTTTACCACCACAAAAATCTAGTTTTTGACTGACATATCTCTATCTTCTTTGCTTCTTAATAAGCAGTTTTGCCTAAATGAAAGCTAAAGCCGTAGCGAAATCTGTCGCATGAGATTCAATTTAGTATTTTGTTTTATATATATATCACCTATACTACCTTTTAGTTGTCTTGAAGATGTATTTTTGTGTTGGGTTAATGAAATCTTTTCATGAATATAAATGAGGTCGCTGGACTTGTACTACCTGTGCTACATACAAGACGGGTTATCTTTCTATCAATCAGAGTACGAGGATATTGCTCAGCAACTCCTTGCACTAGTTTTTTATTTTAAAACATGTCTACTCTAGGTAGAAAACGTGTACATAGGTTCGATCTAATTAATCATAGATGTTTTCAAAGCAGTATGGTCTCGGGTTTTAATCAGATTGTATCGCGAGCCGTCACACAAATAAGCCATAACTCAAAAGTAATTCAGTATATTTATACTTAATAGCACAGTCAATCCTTCTTGCGTATAGCGTGTTAATTTTGACCAATATTATTATAGGCAGTTGACTTTATGATCTCACCTATTGATTTTGAGGCTCTTGTTTTCAGGTAGAACTGTAGACCGAAATGTGTACTTTAAACAACTTTTTCAATCATAGTATTTACGATAAAATTTATTTCTTATGACTCGTTTTATTCGAGCTAAAAGTCAATCATCTTGGGGCAGACTTGATTCTAATAACTCATGTTTTTCTGAGAAATGTTGACTACAAGATATTTTCTGTCATTTATTTGATTTCTTTACGTGAGTCTGCAATAATCAGTATGGTGACCACCAGTTTAATTTATGATACCCATTATCGCTTATTTATTATTCATATAACCAGTGTTTGTCCTATCGGAGGATGATAATTTAGTGATATTTACATGAATAATATATCGGTCGGTCGACTTAACAATGACTATTAAATGCAATGGCTTAATATTTGACTTATTTTTAATCTGTAAAGTTTTATTTATAGCTTTCACCAATATTATTATTATTGCTATTATTATTATTATTATTATTATTATTATTATTATTATTATTATTATTATTATTATTATTATTATTATTATTATTATTATTAATGTCTACAAATCCCCATACTAATAATAATTAGTTTGTTGTTAAACTGTTGTAAACATGTTTTTTTTCTACTTATTAACATTTAAAATACCGTTCTTACTAGGTTACTTACTTACGCCTGTTACTTCTCGTGAAGGAGCATAGGCCGCACACAAGCATTCTCCATCCAACCTTGTCCTGGGAAATATTCTCCAGCTCTTTCCAGTTGCTATTCATCCTTTCCATATCTGCTTCCAATCCTCGACGCAGTGTGTTCTTTGGTCTCCCTCGTTTTCGTTTCCCTTCTGGATTCCAATTTAGAGCTTGCCTCTTGATGCCGTTTAATGGTTTCTTCAATGTGTGTCCTATTCACCTCCAACGTCTTTTCTTAATTTCTTCCTCAACAGGAACCTGGTTTGTTCTCTCCCACAGTAGGCTATTGCTGATGGTATCCGGCCAACGGACATTGGGTATCTTGCGTAGACAACTGTTTATAAATACTTGTACCTTCTTGATGATGGTTGTTGTAATTCTCCACGTTTCAGCTACGCACAGTAGAACTGCCTTGACGTTGGTATTGAAGATTCTGACTTTGATATTGGTTGAAAGTTGTTTTGAGTTCCATATGTTGTTTAATTGACTCAGTGCTGACCTTGCTTTACCTATCCTCGCCTTTACGTCTGCATCAGATCCTCCTTGTTCATTGATGATGCTTCCCAGGTATGTGAAGGATTCTACGTCCTCCAGAGTTTCGCCATCAAGAGTGATTGGATCGCTGTTCTCCGTAATTTAAACTATAAAATCTAATAGTCCCTGTAAACTCATAATGGAGTTTTTTAATTACATTCTTTTGTATAAACATTATTTTTATGCTTAGTGATAACAAATCATATACTGAGTATAGTTCATGTTAACTTAATACAAGGACATCGTATGTTATACAGAATAAAATGTCATACGGGAAAGCAAAACAAATACTATACTGAATAATCATCATATTGAATTAAAACGGAATTAATGTTGAACAAAAATCTAGTTGTACTAGGCCTAAGTTGGAAGAAACCTAGAGGTAGCCAAACCAACATATTACATCAGTTCATGAAGTCATTGATTACTCGTCTGAGTCATGTCGGTAGATGTAAACTACCTAGTTGGTGTCAGCTTTGTTAATTTAAAAATGGTTGTACATGAGGGATGACATAACTCAGAATCGACCATATTGATGCAGATGTATTTACTCATTATCTTCCGTCAACTGTTGCGTTATTAAACTATGTAATTTTTACTGTTGAAATTCATCCAGTTTTCTCAAATTACATTGTCTGTACTTTGCGTTTTCTACTACCATTGATGCTATTTCCACTCCGACTACTTTCATATCAATCTTGATAATCTCAGCAGACTAGGATTATTTATGCTGTATGGCAAATTAAACCGATACACACTATATATTCCAGGTTCTAACTGATTACATTTCATCTGTTTTACAATATTTTGTCCTAATTTTTCTAGAACCACATCTTAAACATAATTATTGTTTTCTTAGCGATACGATCTAAAGAAAATGTAATTCGTTTACATACAGCTTAGAATTTTCTTAAGTAGTGGATAACATCCAAAACATGCTATAAATCTCTGTTGAGTGAAATACAGCTAATGCAGTCTATTTTCGATCATAATAAAGCAGAAATTCGCTCTCTTTTATTCCGTTAAGTCATTTTAGAAGGTATATTGTGATTGAGATGGAAAGGATTTGTACCTCAGGTGGATTATTTAGATGGAGTTTTGTTCTCTGAGATCGATGGTTTGGTCGTGGATCTTTCATTGTTCAACAAGAACACTTCATGTCTACCCTAAGTTTGTGCTGGTGATTTTGTTCGGAAGAACAATGAAGCTCCACAAGCAAACCATCCAGCTTAGAGTATGTTGTCATTTTCAATCTTGTCATTTCATTCTTTTACTTGTAATAACTTATTTCAACATATTTTGTAGATGTTCGCGTTCATTTCTCTCTTTCTGTATGTTGTAGAAATTAAGACAATAAAAATACTAAACTATTATTATTATTATTATTATTATTATTATTATTATTATTATTCGAATAGCATTCAGTTAATAACTGCTATATAGTTCATATAGGCTAAAAAAGGGAAGTGTTAGAAAAATATTTTAAATGGATGGTTAATCTCTATGGATTGATTGACCACCAAACAGTGGCAATTTTACTAATTTTTATTTTCCCGAAGGGTATCTTGAATCCTCAATATTTCATATTACTGTTACAATCTTTACTACTCTGGGATTCGCACTAATAATCTCACCTAGCTGTGCTAATGTGGTATTGCAAGTTGAACATGTACCACTTTTTACGTTGCGTTTGACTGACTAAATAACCATCATAGAGTTTTTTTACCCAGTTGTGGCGGTTTAATTCTTTCGATTAAGTTCTAATGTACCACTGGTCTAGGTGACTTACAATAGGTACATTAAACAAGCATGACACTGGTTACTATCTCAGTCGTACGAGTGGTCAGTCGCGGCTCGAATAGCTTAGAAGTAATATTTCTATCTGGTCCGGTCGCGAATCTGTCGGGTAGAAATTGTTCCCTCAAGAATGCAGGCATGCAATAATAATGAGTTCCAACTAGCACGAAAAAACGTCTAGAGTTTTCTACCGATAACCTCCTATCGCTTAATCAAACATTAATGGTTAGTGGCTACCACCATTTTGATCACTTTTATTTTTGTGTTAATTAAACATCTACATTATACTCAGTATTCTCATTTATTTGATTATTCTGCTTGGATGGAGATGGCTTAGACTTATTATAACTAAGTATTTACTTTAAATAGGTGTTCTGCATCTGCCGACAAAAGCTTCACATGAACATTTTTGAATTATATCTAGTGTTATACAAGGAACAAGAATATGTGTCCTCTTTAAAAAAGCGATCGATGAATTACTTTTTGTCATCGTAGTGATTTGGAAGTACGTGCTTTTTGTGGTTGTTTTTCGCATTAAACTTTAACATCCGTTGGGGTACCACTGAAAACGAAGAATGACCAGATACTCATTTCGTTGTAATGTGAAACTTCTGAAAGATGTATACTCACGATACCCACATGGATCAGACCCAGGACCTACGAGTTTTTAGGCGCTCTTGTTACCCTTGAACGACTAAGTTTGGATCTATAATCTACAAACTAAACAGTTCTCTACAAACTTTCGAAATTAACACTTTATGTATTTGTACCTGACATTCATCTATCTTATTTGGTTTGTATTTTTATTTGTTATACTCACTTCATTATACAAGTCTATTACATGATAATGTAAATGCTAAATGTTAAAGCGCCGAACATCCGCTTCTCGTCCTCTCAATTTTGTAAACAACACCGCCACGAGAAGGCAGTGAGTAGGAACTCCCTGGCAGTGGCTGTATACGCATGATCATGTGAAAGCATTTCGAGAGGGAGAGTTAACTCTCCCCACCCTCGACCGTACCAGGGCATTTGGGGGCAATGACAAAGGATGTCCTTCCGGCGCTCTGGTTAGGCAGGCCACTCACTGAAGCATGCGTAATTTACTGTAACGACGTAACCACATCCATTGCTCGACAAATACTGCTATTTGACAGGTGTACCTGTAATCTTGAGAGAACTGGTGCCTCGTGACAGATTGGATATAGTGTCATTCAGCATTACAATCACAAACGTTTCCACTGAGCGATTCTGGCTGCTACCGAACTTCTCTAGGACTAAGGTAGATTTACAATCAATTTATCACTAAGCAGTGATCATCGGCTTGTATATCAATTCCTTAGTGTTGATTTGATTCAAACGATGAAGTCTAGAGTTCCTGTCAACTACCTTTAATCAACAAATATCAGCCTAGTGCACGTTACTTAGTTCACTACTCAATGATCAGTCAGTTATAAAGAATGTTGTGTATTTTCACTCATTTTCATTTGAAAACAGTACAACAGTAATTATAAAAACCAGAAACCTTGAAGAAATCTGAAAGTCCGATTGGTTGTTGCAAATATACTTATACTTTACCTCTACCACTACGGGATTTAAATCGGTAACTGAATCTCTGTGCTAATGTGGTATGGCAACTCGAAATGATGTATGTACGTACGAAGTTCCACGTTGTTACTGACTGACTGAATATAAGTCATACTTAAACCAAACAGAAACTACTTACAGGAGATATAACGTTGTTTTCTTTTCACATTTACAATTGATTTAATATCTCAATTTCATGATTTTCACCAGTTGTATGTATATCAGTTATTATGTGTCTCATTATTGTAACCACAAAACCCCTTCCAATAAGTATATTTAACAATTTCCTTTACAGTGTGCAAAAGAACTGAACTTGGAACAGAATAAATCTATCAAGTTGGAAAGCAATGAGCTACATGGATACTTTATGCGTGTCACACTCAAGGTAAATCAGTGCATACACATGCGAAGTAGTGTTTGTGCAGTTCGCCTCCCCCCTCTCACACACATTTTGATAGTGTTTTATTTCCTCTGTGAATAGTTAGTTTTCAATTATTATGTCTAAACGTTTTGTACCATTACTCCTGTCGCTTAAATTTAGACAATTGGATATTGTATCTCCAGACTAGTGAATAGATTTGTGGTTATTCATTGATTATATTCAGTAAATGTTGTATGCACTCTCCTGTTTATGATGGAATTTCAACAAGTGTTTAAATTCATTTCATTATAATCGTTAAGTTTTTCGTTTAAATAAGTTTTTTTAATATTGAAAGTAATATAAAATGATTTTATCCTTTGTCTATTGATGACTGTAACTCTTACTATGGCATAACACAGTTGAATTATGACAGTATTCATCAAATTGTTGAAATGCTTTGTCTTTCGATTTAATTTTCTCCATTATTGAAATGTCCTTATTTAAATAGTGAAACGAATTATAAGTGTAATCTGTCCTCTTCACCATCTTTAACTTATTCAAAATGCGTAAATATTGGCACAACTAGACACCGAAATACATACACCCCAAAAAAGGGAGGGAGGAGAGTGGGTAAATCAATTGTATGGTAATGGGCGGTATAGTTCAAGAACATTTTATTCTGTTTAGGGGAGCTCTAACTAATAATGTAGAAAAATTGCATCAGGATTAGTACAAATAAGATGATCTTTTCTGAACCATGTTTGATAACATTTGAAGCCACTGAGTTGTGTGCACTTGCCTTAGGATGTCAACCAGGAAGTGAGGATGGACCAATATTTGCTTGTCCTGTACAGCTGTATTTCATACCAAAGCTTGTTAAAATCTGTCTTACTTTTCCACCTTATTTTAGCGTCAGGAATTATATTATATAAAAGTGAAAAGGATGATACTCATAAGACATCTCAAGTCACCGCAACTGTGATCAATCTATGACAAACGGAAAAGGATCTTCACTAAATCTCTTCAGCTGAAAAACGGATTAGTGAAATTCACCATAGGTTTATTGTGTATTCTACATCTATTTGTCGTTTATTACATAAGATTCTGTTGCCGATACTCTGATTTGAATAACTCATATATAATACATTTTGTCATCCACTCAACTCCAATCCCCACAATCCGTAAAGAAATATCCTGATATTTAACCTAAAAGAACTGTCTTTTTAAGATTAAAGATTATGTATTGATTCGTGCAGAATGTCATGTCGCATTAATGTTTATCCATTTTCATTTTTGTTCACTTCTTCGTATTTTCTGTTTTTCTTTTTCTTCAACTGTAACAATAAATATTAATAATGACAATAAAAGGATGAAAAATGTTTAAGAGGATTTGAAACATTTGAAATTTTGGACACACAAAAAGGTGGTGTACGTTTTCGTAATAACCAAATGACTTCATTAACTGAAGCTTATGCTGAAGTGAAACAAGAATATAATAGATTACAAGAAGTGGTTGTACATCAAGTTGTTTGTGCCGCAGGTAACTACTTTTTTACGACTACTTCTTGTGTGCCTTAGGACTTCCTTAAATATCATGTGTTAAATTCACTAGTGGAAACTCCAAATATCTTTCTCTCTATCTAGCCCCTAATATTTCGCATATAGCTTAAATTCATAGACATGGACAGTTACATTTCTGATCCGCACAGTTAGCCTTGAACCCACTTAAGGTAAACCCCTAATCGTTCGCTATCCGTAAGGCTGTCTTTATTTCCTGCCTTGAGTCCAAAACGAAGTCAAAAGTCAGCCTTTCTCACATTATATTTCAAGCACTGGTGGGTTTATTTACAAGCATACTTGACCACATCACGCCACCCGAAATGTCTGTGAGTAGGGAAAGCTGCACACAATTTATTGGGAATAATTGAAGGTTAATAATTAGTATAATAAGTAATAGGCAAACAGAAGCTAAAGATAAACTCAGTGTATGAATATAGTAATCCAGTTACTTGTTAATTATACAATAAGATTATTAGTAATTATTCAGAAATTAGTTCTGGAACTAAACATTTCTTCAATCTTTGTTCTGATACATCCCTATTAGTAATATATATTCGTTGATTTTACTATCACAATACTCCATTCTGCACTTAACATAATTACACACAGTATTATCATCACGGATTAAAACTTGAAGACTGGACAAAATTTTCGTTACCCTTCTAACTTTTTTACTTCATTCCAGCATTACATCATTTTTTAGATTATTGTGATACCCAGTGTTATCGCGAATAAATAAATTATTTGAGTCCGTTAACTCTGTCAATATATCAGTTTATATTAATAATAAATACTATCTTCTACACTTTGATTCTACGTTGTCATAATAATTCATGAAGTAATTTATTGAATTACTTCGTTTCTTTTTCGACTATCTGTTGCTTCATAGCTGTTCAGTTTGATTTTATTCTTTCAAAAGTGTTGTCATATATTGATTAGATAATAGTTTTTGAGGTGTTTTGTTGTCTGAGCTGGTTGATCTAATCGGGAAGTTTGTATTTTTTTTTCTACACAATGTCATCGATATATGCCGTAAAAACAAATAAGAAGTCCCGATTTACTTACAGCTACAAGGTCTGTCAGTCAGTCGAACCCAACGTAAAATCTGGCATATGTATACATCGATTCCACTTCCCACTCGTCACCAACGGAACGAGATCAAATTGTCAGGGTATATCGCAGAGTAGCAGAAGTAAAAGTATTAATGGTAATATCAAAGATTAAACACGCAGCTACAATTTGAGAAAAAAATTATAAAGTTGAAATACATAAAGAGAAATTTGTAATAAAATTAGGAAGGAAGATAAAGAGTGAATACGCTGCGCCATTGTGAACTATTTCTAGCTATGCCATTCAAAATCTCTATACATTGGTTAGTATAATCAAGTGGATTCCAACCAGGTAGTGTGTACGTGCCTAAATAGCTCAGTCGAGCGGTAAATGTCTTTACGGACTGGTGTCACATCTTGATTTAGCCATACTAGCTTTCTTCCAACTTACTTCTACACCAACCGTTATCCGAAGTCAAGGCAGTCAGTCAAGGAAAAAATTTAAATGAAACCTGTAAATAGAGATCACATAATAATGGGGAGCAACCAATTGAATTCCAGGTCAACAGAATAAGTTGTTTGTCAGTTGTTGAGAAATTCTAATATCTGAAGTATGTTGTTCTGTAGAAAGATCATTAAAACTTCAGGACTAAGCCATCGAATTTTGAAAACAAACCCCTTTCAAAATGAGTACAACGGTATGAAAACAATAGTTGGTCAAGACAAACTATCAAAATGGATATTTCTTTCGAAATATTTTTGTACAAAAAAACACCGTCTTCTACTTTCGGCAATAAAATTTAACCGGGTAACCGAATAACTACATTCACAGCAGAAAACAAATAGCTTTAGACTAAATACTTGAGACTGTTAAGTTTTGAACCATTTCTTATTTATCCTGAGAGCTTACAATTAAATAGTTCCTTTCTATTTACATAATGTGTATTGGGTTGAACTGGGGATTTTTTAACCTAATAACTAATTATTTTTGAGTTGTATCATATTAAGCAAATATTCTAAATGTAATTACATTATCGAAATTTATAAAAGGGACTAATGCTTTAAATATTCTAAAAGTTTAATTCTTTTGCGAATTTGTGTTGATCACAATTTTGTCTGGAAAGACAATAAAAATACTATGATTAGATCGTCCGTGTTCAATGAACACTACATCTCCCAAAATACAGAAATTCTTTATCATTGTAATAATTTCATTATTATATTCAAATTATCAGCTTCGCCGTACATATTTCATCTAATATATGTGTTGTTTTCTTTTTTATTAAACGTATATAGCTACTTATTTAGAGCCTATTAATCAATTGAATGCAACCACTGCGTTCTTAGATGTTATTGTTAGCCTTGCTATCGCTGCCATCTCGTCTTCAGGCGTATCGTATATTCGTCCGAAAATTCTCTCTAAAGATAATGGTCGTATTATTTTAAAAGGAGCACGTCATCCATGTTTGGAAATGCAAGATCGAGTCAGTGTTATTCCAAATGATGTACATCTTGAACGTGGTAAATTGCGTTTCGAATAAGTTTTTGTTTCTACATATGCTGAATTTTTTATCACAGATCAACCATTCTAATAAATAGCCCAACGTTCTTACATTTAAATTCTATTTTTTCTCTTATATATAGTATATGTACATATATTGAGCAAATGTGATTTGTTTTCGACCTTTCAATTCTATCAAATATTTTCCACCTCATAACGCACACATAACTGTTGTTTTCTCCAATTTCTTCATTGAAATTTTATAGGTAAACAAACATTTCTAATTATTACTGGTCCGAATATGGGTGGCAAGTCAACTTATATACACAGTGTAAGTTACAAAAAGAAAAGACCAAATAACAATTTCGTACTTTCCATTCTATGCTGGAATAAAGCTTGTGTGTATATGTGTCCACGAGAGAGACTGACGAGAACACATGAAATGCTCATCATTATCATTATCAAGACTTAGGGGAGCTCATAGTATATATATATTTTTATTTATAGATAATTTGATAATCAATCCGATACAGTGAAGATTGGACTCGTCATGTCATTTGATATTAACTTAATTTTCCTTGTTATGTTTACTTATGTCTGTTGGGGTGTATCATGTCATTTTGCTTCTTTAAGCTCTACAGTATTTTTAACTGGGAGGTTAATGGTAAATATATTATGGTTCATTGTGTAAACTTCTCTCGATCACTAATCGTCACAGCTTATAATAAAGGACAAAAGTCCTCTTGTGACTGTCTAAAAGGAATTATTTAACTAATATACCATCTAAAATATTAGCTTCATTAATAATCCGACTACTAACTAGGGCTCGTGAAAAGCAAAACCCGACTGGTTTTAAACCTGCATGTTGTTGTATAAACCAAATATTTACTCTTTGTCAGGTTTTGGATCGTAGATATGCCTACCGACGTCTGGCTATAGTTGTGTTCCTTGGCCATAATTCAGCGTTACGCTCTGTTGATTGGCAAGTCGATTGATGAGGTAATGAATCTTTATCGACCAAAATGGTAATGACTTTCAATCTGTGAAGTCATTGACAATTGGACAGCCATTTTAATAAGGGTAGATTGCCTCGGTTATGGCCTGTGCAACCGATTGTTTGAGACTGAATGATATTGCTCAAAATCGATCGCAATGATACAGATGCATTCTCTCTTTGTCTTTCTTTAGAACAGGTGTCCCTGTTATAACTTGTGCCCTGTGACGTAATTATACCGCCAGTGATTTATCAACCGGACCAATGACGCATAAAACCCGTACGAACAGTCTAAAGTCTTTACCGGTCCTGCTTCCTGCCTAGCCCTGTCTGTTAAGTCCAGAACACCAATCTCAGCCTCTGCAATATGAATCGTGTATTTGAAACATACTCGGTTTATATACAAACCAAACAGACCATATCGTACCATAAAGTAGGAAACAACATTTGTAAAAGATTTAGCTGTGAATGTGGGATAGACTGGGTATATCTCAAGAATGGTAAATCGTATAATAATAGTGGCATCATATATACACAATCAGAGTCCCGTACTACTGTGAGACGGATATTTAGTGTCTTTTAGTTTTGAATGATTATTTGACTGTGATCAGTCTGCAATGTAAAGCAATACAAACAAAACAACAATAATGGTAATTCTCAATAACCTACCTACTTGCCCATCGCTGAATGTGAATTAATTTTCAGGTTGCCGTTATTGTTGCTATAGCCCAAATTGGCAGCTTTGTTCCGTGTTCATACGCAGAAATTATGCCAGTCGATGCTATTATGGCACGTGTTGGTGCGGCTGATTATCAATGTCGTGGTGTTTCTACATTTTTAGCAGAAATGCTTGAAACTTCAGCTGTTTTACGAGTAAGTATATTTGTTTATTTTTACATATACTATATATGCACATGTCAACGCTTTAAAAATACAATTCTTCCATAACCAACCTCTCAGTAGTTCAGTTCAATAATTATAGATGATAGAGAGAAAATGTTCAAATCAGGTGGATCCTTCTAGTGTTGTTGAGTTCTTCAAATTAAATAATTTAATTGTAGATTTTCAATTATTTTCCTTGATGACATCAGTTAGTTGTTGCAAAAGCGTTAAATCAATTCTCTCTTGCGCTTTTGTTTTTGGTGTTTATGTTCGTTAACTTTATTTGTTGTTATCTTCAATTCTTAACTGAATGAATATATTAGGTCTAGAACGTCCCTGACCAAAATCACATGACAAATCACTAATCAGAATCCTGATTCTAATTTGGTCTGTTTCGCTTCAACTACTTACTCGATAACTTGTCTCTGACTTGGTCAATTACATATCCGATTAGTACTATTAACCTTGAGTTGATAGCTAAGTTCCTATTAGTTCACTATTCGCTAGCTCCTCTATATGTCTTGCCCTTAAGTCCAAGTTATCGACGAACCTCCACCATATGTTTCAAACAGATGTAGATTACATATAGACATACCACGCTATAAAATGAAAAGTGACAATTATATATAAACAACCCAATTGTAGCTATGATTAGGGAAGACTATGAATAATAGATTGACGACGAAATATTAACAATAAATTATATGTTAATATTCTATGGGTTAATCGAAATTTTATGATAAATTGAATATATAGACATAGTAACCTAGTTACGTAACACTTACATAATAAGACTACATGTAGTAATAATAATTTATAAATTTGTTCTAGGAGTTGCCTTTCCTTCAATCCTGGTTCTGATATAACAATTATAAAGATAGCAGTCGTTGCGTACACCAGTTTATCATCTCACATGTGTTTAATGTACTGTGATAATTCCCTTCTTGCAAATTTCGATTTATGTAAATAAATGACAATGACTTAGTTAATATATATGTAATATTCTAATGAGTAAAAAAATGAGATTTTCTGACGTTTTGTGACTCAATGTAAGCCACTTTTTTAGAGAATGAATAAACCAAATCAAAATTAATCCATGTTTAATTAATACAAAGGAACAACGCAAGAATATTATGTGCGAGTTCTTGACTCAAACCAAAGAATATATTATGTACACAAAAAAACCACATAGTAATCCCGTAGAACTGGATAAACTTCAAGTTACATTGTCAATAGCTGTTCACACCATTTTCAACAACCACCAAATCGATTTTAAAAACATTAAAATATTACAAAACGGTTTATTCCAACTACAAAGAAAGGAGAAAGGCCTCACTATACACCCGACTTGGTCTATCTGTGCTAGCCACCATGTCTGATATTACTCACATTTCACACTATTATCATACATACAAATTAAGCTACATCCTCTCGCACTACAGAGGTCACAATTTTTCATCCCTCACCTTGCACACGTACACAAAAATTTACATACATGTCGCTTATAAACTACCTTAACTGAGATGACATGAGATCGACTTGTTCAGACCTGTTTTTTGATTGATCGCACATAATATTCTTGCGTTCTTCTTTTGTATTATTCAAACTTGGATGAAATTGGATCTGGTTATTTATTCTTTGAAGAAGTGGCTTACACTGAATCACGAAACTTTAGAAAATCTGGTTTTTCTATTCATTAGGATTTTGGAAATACATTAATTTATTCATAACAATCTACCCAATGCTCAGTTTTTTCGAAATTATCAAGTCAAACCTTGGTAATGATACCATCAATGACATTTAATTTTTCATTGAACTTACATTTTTTTATTGTCTATACATCAATTAATTAATTAGTTGGATTGTCATCGTGTTTTTAGTGAAAAGGGATGTTAGTTGGACGGGGGAATTTTAATGTTTTCTGTGTGATTCTTTTCTTATACCTATAGGCAAATTTATTTTGGTAATTGTCGAATCACAATAAATAAAAATAGCGTATTATTATTATTGAAAGCCTACTGCCGACTACCTGCAAACACAACAACAAAGTAAAATTATTTTTTTACCCTCAACTACTACCCTATCACACTCTATTCTTGTCTGTAACTAACAACCTACACTGAATGTAATTTTTCCTAACCAACACTTATTACTAACATTTTTAATGAAAACTGACATTTAAGACAAAAAAAGACACTTGTTGAATTAGCTAGCAATCTCAATATATTTTCCAAGTGGTAATAAATAATTTATAGATAAATTAGTAAATGAAATGAGTGGTACGTGGTATACACATGTAATAGCCGACTGAACTGTTTTCACGGACAAATGAGCTGCTTTTCACTGGCTACATATTACCTATCATCATTAGCAGAAGAATAATGTGACACAATTCATTTTTTACAAACACTATGAAAAGAAAATAGGGAGATTGTAGAATTTTCATAGATCTACATTACTAACTGACCTTAGCTAGACGGACCTGTAAGCACCTTCAGTCTCGTACAAAAACGCTTAACTCCCTAGATCACTGGGTCGGCATCCAACAGTGTTAATAGCTAACTTCAGTTAATTGGAGATATTGAACAGCCCTCATCTATTATCTACCGTGGACAACTGTCTTGCACCCGACATGGTCAGTGGAAGATTCTGGGTTAGTCTCTTCGATGCGGGGCCATGAATTCGCACTACCGAGGAGTCTCATACCAGGTCGAAATGTCATTTCGCTGCCGTGGTGGTATAACTGAAATCAGTTCGTGTTGTAAAACTGAAAATAGTTGAAATTTGTTAGAAATTCTCTCATGTGATAAGTTTTATGAAAAATACCATGCTCAGTTTCTTGGATAAAATTGTTTCTTTCTTCTCGAACTGTGTATTTGTGTCACATACAGCTGTTACATGATGCTGTGATTTGATTATTAGTCCTTAATAAACTGTAAGAAACACTTTTAGTTGCTGTTTTAATTGTTATTCTTTTTTACAATGTTGGACATGTATAAACGTCTCGTTTTGTGGTTTAATAATTTAAATTCATAAGTTTCCGGTCCGAAATTTCCTTATGAACCTAGAATTCGTGTTTCTTTTGGATGTGTTTTATAGGTTGGCCACATTGTAAGTTGATTGATAGAATTCGATCAGCACTAAGAAAGTTTTGACCTATTGTATTATTCACTGCTAAATGATCAATAAATGTTTTTCGTTTCTCATTACATTATATGGTGTTCAAAGATGTTTATCAGGTCTTTTGTGTCTGTTACCTTTCTTATGGACAGTAAAGCCCTTCATTCCTTTTTCCATACTTCCTATTTCTCAGTATCAATTCGATTGTCGATAACTCATCGCTTCAGGCCTCTGATGTTCTCCATACTTAACGTACGGTTATTCTCAAAACCTTAGCAACTACAGACTTATTACCTATAAATTTGCAAATAGAAGAACAAGTATGTAGACTTCAGGTCTTTAAAGCATTGGACTTACTTTGTGAAATAACCAAATGAGCAATGTTGATATTAGGCATAGGTTATCAAGTGAAAGTGACTAACTGACGGATAAGCTTATGAATCTTCCTCGATTTAGGTAGTTAAGACATGTGTTATCTATGTGTAATCACCGCTTATCTTGACGGGTGATTATTACTGGTATAAGAGTGTACTAAAAAATGGGGGCGTTTAAATCACGACCTTACACTAGTCTATCAAGTTAACGACTGTTGGTCTTAATAATGCTGATAAATTCAAACTACCTGTTTAGGGTCAACGAGTTAACTACATCTAGTAGCTGTAGACTTTTCATTTTCCTAGCTCAGATCCATTCACTCTTTGTTATCAGATTATTTCGATCTCTTTTACTGTTCATTTTGTTAACTTGATCTCACTATGCTAATATGATGTAGTAATATATCTTTGCACCAGTCTCTACGTTGATAATGACTAACTGACTGAGTTGTGAATTTTTCACTTTTTTCGATTCTATACATATTCATACAATTAAAATATATTTAATAATATTAGTGTTTATATTATTTTCTGTTTCATAAAATAATTTTTTATTGCAGTTTTTTTTTCTTTTAAAACTCATAACAGTCGGTCACGCCCAATTCACTTGTCATTATTGATGAATTAGGACGTGGCACATCAACATATGATGGATTTGGACTAGCTTGGGCAGTTGCTTCATTTTTAGCTAGTCCTGAAGTTGGTTGTTTCGGTTTATTTGCCACACATTTCCATGAATTAACCAGTTTAGCAAATTATATGCCCAAACGTGTAGCTAATCTACGAGTTTTATGCAATGTATCAACCAATAAGGGCATCGTTGAAGATGAAGAGTCTGAAACAAAAGTTACTATGTTGTATAAAGTTGAGCCAGGTAAGTAATTGTACAATTGATCGAGTAATTGGATAATAATTTCAGATTAACAACTTCAAATGTTTTAGTGTATTTTCCTATCGTTTGGTTTTAATATAAAGAAATCTATGAATGGTTAAAATAATTCCTTTCTATATTACCTATTTCCATTGTCTTGTTTGTTCATCAAAATTTTTCGTCATGGAAACATGACGTGTACATGTCCACTTTTTTACATAAACCTTAAACGGCATTTGGTTAGTTTATGGTACATTTTGTTATGTCGCTGTAAGTTCTTCGATAATGGTTGTTGCTAATTCACTCGATTTTCGACCATTCAATTACTTTAAGTAGATTAGTGCTATGGTTTGAAAAATATTTGATTTTAACGCCGACTTATACTTTTAACTGTTTCGATTTCTAAATTTTTGAAGTATGTTGTTTCGATGAAATTCATTTTTTTGCCTTATTACAAATACATATAATGGTTTACTGATTTTCTGTGGATATTACTGTGCAAAATGTTATGCACCATAGCACAAACTTTTAGATGGGAAAGTTTTCTCTCACTGCAAACGTTGTATTGTAACGAGCGCTAAAAATTAAGAATCAGGATTCAATGAGGACACCATACTATCCTTCATACTGAATTAAAGTGAACTCGCTTAATATTCCTTGACCGTTGGTACTTGTCAGCAATATAACTTGGGATTTACGTGAAGTCTTGCCCGACACGATGTAAAAACCCGAAGCTAATGGTTAAAGATGGACTGGCAGCAACTAGGGTACTAGAAAGTATTCTAATCATTTTAAATTGTCAATCTAGTAATTATCTATCTCTCAAGCGTAGATTTTGTGCTTACATTATCCCTAATCCACCATACTTCTTCGTGTTATTAATTTAGGTGTATGCAGTCGCAGTTATGGTCTAGACGTTGCTCGTCTTGCAGGCCTACCTATGGAAGTAATTAAACAAGCTGAACATCAAGCATCTAAAGATGAAGAGCTTGAATCAATTTGGTTGAAATTAGATAAAAAATACTCTAACATATATGAAGATGAACTAGACTTTGTTCATGTAAGTAGTTGATTTTCTATTTTCTTTCTCAAAAGTTTTGTAAAATGTTAGTACTAAATGAAGACTTTAGTCTGTTCATTTCTTTTTCATACTTTAGAAAACTTTTTAAACAGCTACCATGAGAATTTTAAATGTGGTGTGTTTATATTAATAAGTAGTTTCGGTTGTATTGATGAATAAAAACAGTTATCACCTAGTAAACGTTTTCAGTACTTGTCATGCAATTCACTCGCTGAATTGAATATAGTCACCCTAAATGTCGTTTTACTGGTTTTTTTACACTTTAAACCTAATCATCCAAGTGCCTAGATCAGTTATATGCTCTGATCAACCGTGTTTTTTTACCCAGCATACTGATATTTTGTTGTTATCTAGCTGTGTTTTAACATTCTTCAACTCTATTGTTCCAGATGACGTGGGATACCCGATCAAATTTAGTAATCCATCTATATTACATGCATGAATCTATGGTTTTTTATTTCACAATTAATATTATGTTACTTTGCACAAATTCAGTGTTCACACTGTATGTGACAAATCCTGTCAGAAAATATCGTCATTATTTTTCACAACTTTTCGAAACTTGTAATTCTCAGCTGCATAATTTATGAAAGCTTGTCAAGTGATTAGAGAGACAATTGGTGAGGATATTAGACCTTAATTTTCTTCTTATTGATACCTGTCAAGAAATTATGCCTGCAATCTTAAGGGAATTATTGCTCTTCTTTGAGTTCAAACCTGTGCTACTCATTTGCATAATCAACATCTTATTTAGCACAAAACGGACTCAAGACTTCGTGCTAATTGCTTCAAACCCCCTAACCGCCAATATCACTACATAGTGTACGTAATACTAACCACCTTAGGCTGGTGTCTACGTAGTTTTGGAATGATCAGCACTGTGTACTAGACAGGAGCAACATTAGTTAATACATAGCGATCAATCAGCGTAGATTGAAGCTTATATGCATAACCATTCAATAGTTAACTCAGTTAATCATAAAAATTATTTATTTATGTAAGCGCAAAAATTCTGCAGTCGAAAGTTTAAGCTGTAAAGAATTTAAAACGATTGTTTCTAACGTATGTATCAAACAGAATTAAACATGTGTGTATCATTACGTAATTTACATCATGAAATTACCTTAGATGATCATTGAAAATCAGGAAGCGGAATTGGACAGATGCTTCGTCTTGTCATAGAAATTCTCATCAGTACTCATTCACAATCCCACTATGGATCGGAGACATGACTTTTATATCTCGTGGCGAACACTTAGCTTTTAGAATAAAGAGGTTACGGACGTGTACCCATGAGGAATCTCAGATGATTGAAACATTTGTCCAATGCCGTCTGGTTTTCAATAGTTTTCTAGATGAAGTCAGTTTGTGATGTAAACTACAAAATTCATCAATCTCTTCATACTCCCTTACACAAATAATGTATCATTATCAAACGATTAAAATAAAACTGTAAATTCATATCACATGTTTTTTTGTTTGCTTCGTCTTAATTGTCTTCCCTTATCTTTTCTTCAAAATTTTTCTACACGTTCATGCGTATGTGCATGTGTGTATACAGGATTCTCCAGCTGTATTAATCACCAATGAATTATGTCCACGTCTTATCGCGATTCTGGATCATGTCATAAAAAAAGCTGAATTGGACGAGAATTTATCAATTAATATGATTAGTTCGACAGTTGCTCATTTGACTCGTGAACTTTTACTAGAGAAACCAAATAATTTACCAAGTGATTACTTATTAAATTTGGTCAAAGACAAACTAGAAAACATTAAAAAAATATAGATAGATTTTTCATGATTGAACAATTATTTTATTGGTATAATCATCACTATAGTATTTTGTCAAAGTTTTCCTTGAAGAAAATTTCTCCACATTTCTTTTTACATCAGTTTTAAATTACTAAGATTTGCTAACATATTCCTTCCAAAGTTTGATATAGTAAATGTATATTAAGCCTTAAAATCACAAATAATATCGTGAATCGTGTGGATTTAAAACCTAAACAAGTCGATGCCAACTCAGTAGTCTTAAGCTTTAGCTCTCCCTTTGACACTTGAAGTCCTTGGGTTCAATACCTAGCAAGGCTGTGAATCTACATGACTAAGTATTCCAGTACTTCGACGAAATAGTTGTCTAGAACTTCTTGGTTTATACAGGTTGCCTAGCTTCAATTAGTTCGTGATGCGGCAACAAAATGATCCTTGGAATTCCGATAGGAAATCATGACTTGTTATGTCGAATGGACAGTTGCATGATGATTGCAGTGTTTTCAAGAAAATAGCATAAATGATAATCCGCACTCATGTAGTTAGTTATTTAGTCAGTCCTGTTAGTTTTCCTTGGTGTATTTAAATAACTCTGTCCTGGGCTATTTTTCGCCGTTGTCGCTAAGTGCTATTCATGTTTCTTATGTCGCCTTCCAATTGACGACACCATCTGTTCTTTGAGCTACCTCTTCCCTTTCTGCCCTGATTATTCGAAGTTTGAGATTGTTTCGTGATTCAATTGGATGATTTTCATTATCTCCTGCTTAACTGGCAGATGGTTTGTTTTCTACTATTTCATGTTATCGCTCATGGTCTCTGACCAACACGATCTGGAGTAGGTTGCGTAGATATGTGTTTGTAAACATTTATACCTTTTCAGTGATAAAAGTATTAGTTCCGGCAACTTACAACACGACACTTTTAATGTTAGCTCTTAAAATTCCGACTTTTTTATGTGGTGACAGTTGTTTTGAGTCCCGGACATTATTTAGTTGTAGGGATGGTTCTTTTTTTTACAATTCATGCCTTAACATCGGCATCAGATCCCCTTTGTTTGTCAATTGTGCTGCTTAGGTACGTAAAGGCTACCACCTCTTTCCGAGTTTCGCCATTGGTACTGGTAGTGGATCGCATTTAGGATCGTTCTGTTTCCCTTATGGATTTTGAAGCCTATTTATGCGGAAACGATTGATATACTGTCAGTTTTTGTCTACATTTGTTACTGTGTATAGAACAGAGAGGCTAAGTCATCTTCAAAGTTCAAATTATCTGGTTGTCTCCAAGGTTCCCACTGTATTTCATGCTTTTCCTGAGATGTTGCAGTTTTTATAATCCGGTCAGCAACCAAAAGGAAGAGAAAGTGAAAGTAGATAACCCTGTGTAACACCGGTCCTCACTCAATGTATCAGTGATCTGCCCTCCGTCCATGACTCATAAGATTTTTATATTATAGTGACAATCTTCTCAGGTACATCATAGTGTCGAAGGACATTCCAAAAGGTTTTCCTATTCACTGTCAAATGCTATCTCATAATCAAGCGAGTTGATGTACAGTTATGAGTTCTATTCGACTGATCGTTTAACATTGATCTGCAGTGTCGCGATTGGGTCGGTATATGATTAGTCGTAACGAAATCCAGCTTGTTGATCTTAAAGCCGTGCTTACTGAATCTTTCATTTGGTTCGGCAATACTGTTATCTCCCTATAAGCATAATGAATGGTGGGAACGCGTTTTATCCTATCTAGAATTCGTCAGTTAGATGTTCTTCATCCCAACTGTTAGGTCCCGATAAGCATAATGAATGGTGACTTCTGGGATCCATTGATGAACCAGTATTATGCGTATATTTTTATCGTATAATTGTTAAATAACTAAACTATTCATATTCGTATTCTTATCATAAGCTTTATTTTGACCTATGAACTATTATTATACGATTTACCATTCTTGAGTTATGCCCTGTCTATTCGTTACAGTCTCCCACATTCACAGCCACATTTGGCTAATTCTTGTACAAATGTTGTTTCCTATTTTATGGTACGATGTGGTCTGTCTGGTTGGTATATAAACCGAGTATGTTTGGAATAAATGATTCATATTGCAGAGGCTGAGATTGGTGTTCTGGATTTAACTGGCTGGGCTGGGCAGGAAGCAGGACCAATAAAAACTCTAGACTGCTCGTGCGTGTTTTATGTGTCATTGATCCGATCGATAGGTCACTGCTTCTTAAGTGGCGGTATCGTTACGTTATACATTAACAGGGCATACAGGCTACAAGTCATAACAAATTATTTGTCCAGAACTTCGCATGACACTGGTTGGAGTGTGATCCCCTGTAGTTCCCACTCTTAGTAAGATCTTAGGTACTTTAATGTGGTATCTCTCCTTACAATATGTTAGTCCTTGTTCTTCTTTTCAGTACTGTGAAGAGAGAGTGGAATATGTTTACAATTACCTCGATATCTTACTTCGATTCTTCAGCTGATATGCTGCCTGGTCTTGCTATTGTGTTCCTGATTTGTCTGAGTCGAACTAATTATTCCATTTATCGTTAGAATATCATTTATAGGGAAGTCTGTGTGTGCTGCTTTGATATTCATTAGGTTCAATAAATCTGATTTAGTAAAAAGCTCTCTCAACGACTTCTCCTAACCACTTATTCGCTTGGTAAGTTGCATTACTTATATGCCAATATTGTTGTTTTCGTTGAATATTTTGAAGATACCTTCGCTATCTGAATGTATAGTTAGTAACAATTACTCAGTTGTTTGGCAGTTTTGTTTAGAGTTTCACGATTCTTTGAGCAATTGATGCATTCGACCACTTCAATCATATTACTAACTTATCTAAGCATCATAATACCAATTTTGCATCAAATTTCGAAATTTTCATACTGAAATACTGGTAATATTTAGTTTAGTTTGTAATACATATTGTTTACCCCTGATGAATCAATATCTAATGTATACGCAACGCTATTACAAATTATCTCACTAAAATCTGAGAACCATAGAGTAAATTTGCAAAATATCAATCATTTTTCCAAAACTTGACGTTCCCTTTTGCAAATATCAGTCCATCGTCTCAGATTTCATTGTTCGTGCATTTCCATGCCAATCGCTTTCCGTTTCCGTTCTTTCCTTCTCGATCGTCTATTGAGATACATTCTATTTCTTGACAATCGTTATATGCTACTTATGTGGATATAAGTAGTTTCAGTCTATTAATTAGGTGAACGGTATTTATGTAGACCGCATGTTGTTGTTTACTCCTCTCCGTTAATGCACATAGAATCCGCCCAAATCAAAATTATTTCACAGCAGAAATAATAAGCCTGGGTTAAAGTTTGTTAGTCATTAGCTTTTCAAGCCTGATCATCAGTTTTTCATTCTCGATTTTGTAGGAAAATGTATACAGAACCTTATTTATCTGAGTGCAAGTATATTCATTCTGAGGATTTCCTTCTAAATACAAATATAAATAGCTATGAGACAACTGTGTGTAGATATTATCATGATTATTATTATCAACCAGAGCATTCCTACTTCACTAGTTCACTCATAATTTGTGAACCGCTAGTAAAATAATTTCTTCGGGAATTCTGTTTTAATTAAGCCAAATGAAATTCGAGAGATTTACGTGTTATGTAAAATCGACATACATATAAGGATGTGATACACCTAACCTTGTCCATTTTACTCTGACGACAAAATAAACTGTTTCTCCTAATAATTGTAGACACTCACATCAATGACACAAGCGTTTCTATCGTAAACTTTATGTAATAAAAGCTAAATATCATTCAGTTTTTAATTTCTCACAAGAACGTTATGTGCTGGATTGTGTACGGAGTAGTGAATGTAAAATATAAAAGAACAACGGAAAAAGTGAGCTAACAACTCAGTAAGCACATACGATGTTCTTATATACAAGCAAACCAGATCGCATCATACAATAAAATAAGAAATAACAATTATACGAGATCAAGCCGAAAAGTGGCTGTTGTTGTGAGAGACTGTAACTAACAAATTGGGAATAACTTAGGAATAGTAAATCGTATAATGGTAGTCAATAGGTCAAATAAAAAGCTTATGATAAAAGGAATATAAACATAATCTAGTTATCTAACAGTCTATAAATAGTTTTCAGAAGTTACCCATAATTTAATCTTTTCCGGTTATAACTTTGATATATCAATTCTCAGTGTCCAGCTAATGAGTTATAAATCTGACGAAACTCCTATCCTACAATAAGAATATATAAAAATAATAAGTCCATAAATAGTTTTTAGCTATTACCATCCATTTGTTCTTCGTTAGGATATAACAAAGTTAAAGCAATCTGATAGTCGAAATTGGAAGTTTCGAGTGTTATTACACATGTGAAACATGTGTATTTCATTAAACCGCGGGATAATGTAGTAACGTCTACAAATGAAGTAGTTGACTATTACACAAAAACACTGCATAGTTAACGTTCTTCAAAACAAGCCGTCAATACATTAAAGTTAAAGGTTTTTATAATATACCAACTACCTTAGGTGACTTATCAGCCAATCAAAAACATTGCCTAGTTGTAAAACATTTAACAATATAAAGTAATGAAATGATAGTGTAATAGCAGCTTAGATCTGAATAATTGACACATCAAATTATCAATATATATATTGAGGCACGGTGGTGTTATGAGTTAGGTTTACCACCCTATAATTTGTATCACTATCTGATATCAGCTTCTGTTGAGTAATAACAGGTGGACTGGAGTTTTGAGTTAAGTTTACAAATTAGAGTCAGAGTTTTCCATATGAACCTGACATCAGCTTTAGTACACTACCTTGCCATCTTGTTTAAAAGCTTGAGAAACGGAGTGGGAGAATATTATCTTAATTATGCTGTGAACGATATCATGTACTTTAACACATCTGTCTTAACAGCTGGTATGTTATGTAACATAGCTGAAGCACTATCTAAAATTCACATCTCGGTTGTATGACGGTTGTTTCCACTGATTTCAAACATTATGAGAACTAAATATTGCAAATTTTCACTTGGTTAGAATATATACTTTATCTACCACTGCACTCTAAATTTCGCGTGAATTACATGAGGTGCTGTCCTAACCTTAATTGGTTAACTGTAGGTCATCAGTATATCATACTTTCTCCATAATTTTAAACTTGTTACGTTTCTTATCTGATGAACAATCTATTGATTAAATTACTGAAATAATTGAAGTTATAATATGATGGTCCATACAAAGCTTATCCTTAATTGTTAAATGTATAGGATTCTAGTATCCAGATCACCTGGAGAAGCTTATCTATATTTTTTGTGAATTGTGGTTGCTGATTCTCTTTTTTCTTATCAAATAAACGACTAGTCAGGGTTGAAAATAAAAATCACAAATACTTGATTTCATCTTATCATTATAACTACTATTCATTACATAGTTAATATCATGGACTGACTTTACTTAGAACAACCAATGAAAACTAAAAAGCATTGCGTATCTGTTTTGTCTTAGTACGGGACTCATCGAGTGTGCTTCGAGAACCAAATTCAAGACCTTAAAATATCACAAGACTTCTGGACCCTTAAACCACTGAGATTACAACCAATTGTTTCTACCTTCAGTCAGTTCGCAATATCGTTAGAGTATTTCATGCTAGAACAATACAGCTATCCAGAGTTATCTGATTTTCAATGGTTATCTAAGTAAGTTCAGTCTATGATGCATACCATTATTTTCAACAATAACTACTGAAAAACAATGTTGATTGGTATATAGGGGTAGGTTTCGAAATCACGCATTATATCATTTGAAGAAGTCATTCATTGTTTAACTCAGTAGTACTAAGAGATGGAAACCTTACGGTTATTTGGTATAAGTATTGAATCTTAATCTCCACAAAAGAACAAATAATGGATAGATGTCGATTATAGTGTCGTTAGTTAACTTTCAAGAATATTCATTTGTAAATTTCTGTATTACTTGTGGATTAATCGTCTCATTTTTGGATAATTATTATAATTTATTAGTTAGTTTTTGTTAAATCTGAACTTTACTTCTTTTGAAAATTTGCTTGTATTCTTCTCAATTAGTTTTATTAGTTTATATTCTTTGTAAATTAGCCAAGTATCTAAAGATAAGCTTAAACTGAATGATTGAAAACTTATCTTTTTATTATCAGACTACTTGCATTGTATTGACAACATTTTCTCCTACAGAGTTTGATTAAAATTAGCTGTATTATTGGTTACCTGTAAGACAGATAAGATGGAATTAAAGTGAATAATTATCAAATAAATGCTTTATTATTCACTTAATTAGACGTAAATTTATTTTGTTGTACATGTCTAAAAAATAGTCCTCTAAATTAATATATCAACAGTAAAGTTTTCCTTTAAACAGTTAAACAAAAACTTCGAAAGAATAGTCTATGTTAACATACATTGACTAATTTAATAAAACAACATAATTTCTTCAGTAAATCATTTCACTTAATTGATTATCTTGTTAGAGGAAAAAGCAATTATATAATACGTATTGTGTTGGGCTATCCTAATTAAATATCAGAGGGTTAGAGGCAAAAAATAGGTACGTAAGATTCTTGAACTAATAATAATTGGTAGCTACAATTTCGAAAGAATCAATGCTCTCTGTTATAGTTGAACTCTCAACAGCTAGTGTTACACAAGTAGACGTTACTGTTGAGGTTGCTGGACAGCATTCGACCTCGTGTAAATTAATTTTTTAAATGAACTCGTCTCCTAGGCACTTGCATATGAACCTGACTCTAAGTGTAAAGACAAATATTACTAGCCAGTTGCCCATGTTGAAGTAGGTTGAGTGGGACTCTAAACTAGTGGCTAAAAATCAAAACACCACTCGCGTGAAACTGAGATATTTACACTTGGGATTAAGTAA